TGCAGGAGGAGTAGCCTAGTTTTGTTGTTTGACTGCTACCTTTTTCCGCAGGACTTGTTTTCCAGTTCCAGTTCCAGTCACTCAGTTTGACATTTAATTATTAAATTATTTGCAAATATGTAAGCTTTATTGCTCCACCAGCAATGAGGCAGCAGCAATTAAATGTTTTTGGCAGTTTTCTGGAATTTAAATTTGGTTTTCCCTCGAAGCTTAAATCCTCCGAAATTGTTTTAGTGGCATAAATAAAATGTAAGAAATTTGTTAATACATATATATACAGTTGAGGGGGAGGAGGGATGACAGGTCAGGCTGGCCAACAATTCGCACCTAATTTAGTTTATTATTTCATGATTTCATTTATTTTGTGCCTGCGGTTGGCCAAAAATTGTTGGCCAAAGTGGATTAGAGTCGGTTTGGGCCGTAAAAGAAATTTAAACTTTTCCCTGCCGCTTTTTTTTATTATGCGTACAAAAAATTGTTGAATGCTGAATGGCGGATGGTATGAAGGGGCGATGAGGTGGATGCGAACTGATGTTTTGAATATTTAAATCATTTTATTTGCCACGCCACTTAGCGAGCAGCATTCAACGTCCGTGGCAGCAAAAACCGCCTGCAATTCTTTCTGCTTTCGGGTCGAAATCAATTATTTAGGCAAAATGTCAGCCAAATCTGTGCTCTGTTGTTCTGTGCTCACTGTTTGTGTCACGTTATGAATTTAGATTAAACAATTTAGCGTTCCAGTTGAATGTGCAACAGTACCCAAGGGAACAGAAACCAGTTCACGGCTCTGATCAACAAAAAGTTATTAAACGCAAATCAATCTCATATTGTTTATCGAATTTGTAAAAGTATTTAATATATAAACTTTTGAAAAAAATTTCACTTAACCCTTTTCTTTATTGTTAATTTGTAAATAACTATTCTTGGATTATTTCGTTGTGCTTTTCAAGGCTTGTATATAAAAACCACAAATCAGTAAGAGAAAACCACAAAGCTTTTAATTACGGAACTGAAGGTAGTAAAAAGTAGGTAATTGGTAATAACTAATTATGAAAAATTAAATCACCTAATTAAATACATTTCCTGAACACAATTTGTATACTTAATCAGTACACTATTGATCAAATTACTTACACAAATTACACTAATTAAAATCCTTTAGCTCATAACTAATTAAAGAACAAATTAATCTCTAAAAGACCTTTAAAGACTGAAACCTCTCAACGATTTGATTTTCATTTCGTCCAAGAACCTAATCGATTTTCAATGTGTTTGAGCTGGAAAACAAACGTTCCCATTCCCATTTCATGGGAGCCAGCAAGTGCCAAGCTATTTTAGACAATTATGCTCTGATTACACACGTTTTAGCTGCCATCGGACACCACTCCGATTCCGGGGATCCAGGACAATTGTCCGCTCTAAGGAAGAGAGAGGGAGGAGGGTCCTGCACCTTTGTTAATTGCTGTTGCAGGCGTCTTCTGGCCAATGAGCCGGCGGAAGCTCAAATGGCACTTGCTGTGCATTCAACATTAGTTCGTTAGCTCCGGCAAATGGTCAACAGCAAAAAGCCCTCGGCAGCAAGGAGCGGCGACCTCTTGGCCAGAAGTCAGCACGGCCAGCAAAAATGTCAACTTGAGGCGAAGAAAGGGCTCAGACAAAGGCTTTATATATATGTATATAAAGTAAGGTATGGGGATATATAAGTTTGTGTGCCAGGTGGGATGTGCGGCCAAAGGGTGAAGTATAACAAAAGAGCTGAAAATTAAAAAGAGACAAGCAATTAAAATGGCTTACAACCGGGCGAACATGGGGTAAATCGTAAACGGTGGGAAGGGAAGCGGGATTCGGGGGGCAGTAACAGCTGTAACTGTAATTGTTGTTGCTGCAACGGCATAATTGCCGACAGGATGCAACGCACGCGACCACTTCCGCTTGGCAGGCGCTTCATCCTCGGTAGCCATTCCGGCCCTTGTCGTTTAACCCACCAAAAAACAAACCGAGCTGACTAGGCCCTATAAAATAAATCACTTGCTTATGTAAGCAGAAGTATTACTAAATTTAAATAATTAGATGGCTTAAAAGATTTACATATTGAATAAGTTTAGCATATAAAGAAACAAACAGCTTAATAAGTAAAAGTTTAAACTTTAAATTTATAATTTTTCCATATTTTATACTTAGCTTAAGAAGCAAAATAAAAAAGTTGCACAACTTTTTTAAAAAACATTTAAGTACTCTTAAAATAAAATAAATTCAATCACAATAATTGCCTGTCAGATCCATTAACCTTCCGTCATATAGCCCAAAGGCAACACTATGTGTCAAAGGGTTAAATAATCCCTGCCCAAGAGGCAGCAAAGAGACAGAATGGGTTTCCCGGCAACTCATAAGGCTGGCACATTTTACGTGCAAAATAAATGGCGAGCCGAGTGCAGCAGAAATTAATGGCAGTGCAAACAACAAAAGCCCTTGCCCCACCTCTTGCTTCGGCTCAGACAGAGCTCAGTCCGCTGCACTTTGGAGCCGTACCCGGTGCCTGGATTCCCGGAACCTGGAACTCTTCCCTCCTCATTCTCATCGCTGCCTCTGCTGATGCGTAAGTTGTCAGTTGCTGAATGGCCAAGTCCGCTTGTCGGTCAGAATGATCCCCTGCTCCATGCTCCCTGCTTCGTCCTTCATCCACCATCTCCCTTTTCCAGTTCGAGGCAGCTGTGGCTGATTCTGGCTCTGGCGTGGCTTTTACCACTGACCAGGACTTTGCATAATGCGCATACGCCCGGTAAGCCCGTAGGCGGCTTTACGCCATTGTTACTTCCGGTTTTAAGGAGCTGCGCCCCAACTGCTGTGTGGCTAGAACAATTACAACAATTGGTTGTAACAACGCGAACAGTTAGCCACCTGAAAAAATAGCAGCTGAGATTACTAGCCAAGAACTCAGGTGAAACGATAAATTATTACTCTACGATTATGAAGGATTTTAATAGAATTAATTGAATTTTTAATAAGTTAAGTTTGTACAAAAAATTTAAAAAAAAAAAGCTTTGTAGTATTAAAAAAAATCTTTTTATTAAACTATTCTTGTTCTTGAAACATAACTATATTCATAGAAACAATCTTACATGGCAGAAACAGAGCATACCCTTCACAAACGACTTCCCACAGACCAAGAAGCCAGGGGTTATGGAGATGTGGGAGCCATAATGAAATACATGGCATATGCGGAGACCCGGATCAGGCGAACAATGTGTGAATGCAACTCCACAGCCGGTCGTGGCTCCGGCATCCTGTGCACTCCGTCCGGATCCCCGCCGTCACGATGGCAATCATAATAATGGCACACAATTTAACAGCATTGCATATCGGAAGGAAATCTCGGTGGCCGCAATCTGTGCCTCTCGTCTTCAGGCTTCTGTGACTTGGGCCCGGACTCATTGCATTTGCCTATTTATGTACTCAGCCCGAGGACGGTGGCCGTGGAAGAGGGGGCGTGGCGAAGCAACGGCACTGCAGACCGGTTAAATGGGTCACTTTGACCGCTGCACAAATGACAATTGCCGGTCAGCAAATCCTGGGGAATTGCTGCAGTTGTTGGCCCTGCTTAAATGCATATGCATTAACAGAATAAATTATGCATTTTTCGCACATAAAATTCTGTCGCAGTCGGGTTTCCCATGAGTCTTTTCTGGGCCATCGCCGGAGATTCAACTGAGCCGTCAAGGCACAGTCCCAAGATTGAATGCGCTGCTCCCAACATCAAACTACTAACGTGGTTATTAAATTGTCACCGCGGCAACCTGAAACGAATCGCTTCTAATAAAGAGTTCAGGTAACAGTCCACAGAATCTCAATAACGTTCGATGCTGCAAGAGGTGGCACTTTTCATGGCCCGCGAAATATGAAATAAGTCATGTCATGTAATTAAAAATTAAATTTGATAAAAACAAATATAACTCTAGAAGTTTTTACTTGAATGGGACAAGGATTCCTTAGACTTAAATCCGACATTCAGTGTAGGTAAAAAGAAACTGAACTGTTTCCAATTACTGCTCACCTAAGCCCACCACGATTGAGCACGGAAAAGAGGGTACTCCAATGGCGTGGTCATGGTCAGGCCGGAGTCACGGCTGGTGGGAGGCTAAAAAGAACCATTTACCAGACGTTGCTTTGCCTACTCCTCTGACCAACGTGTCCAGGTCGAGGTCCGCATTGATTGCAGTCACCAATTAGCGTAATATTCGCAATATACTTTTGTCTGTGTATTCATTTTTATTATTTTTCCTCCGTTCTTTGAGACAGCAGCACGCCTAAGGGACGCGGCGGAGGGATTGCCCAGTGCCCATTCCGTGAATATTGGCCGGCAGTGTCATGGCAAAAAGTTTCCGACGCCAGATGGTTTTAATTGCTCCTCGGGATGTTTTTTGCCTAAGTCTTTGAAAATTAGTTTAAAGCATTTGAGCGCGAAGGCAGGCAACTAATTGATATTGCTTAATATTTATGGGTGGCTGTTGAGAGGGGTTGGGTGGTTAAATGCAGTGCAATTTAACAAATGGAAAATCCCGGAAATGCAAATTAGAGCAGAAACAGCGGCAACAGTCGTGGCAACAAAGTGCTCACTGAAACCGGAGAGTTACAAGGAAATTAGCCGAGTCGAATGTGTGTCATGCACTCAACTTAACAGCGGCAATGACAGGTGAGTGCCCTGTTCCGCCCCAAACATTTTAGACTCTTCTGGAGCTGATAATACGTGCTCGTCATGCTCATGCTCATGCCCAACATGGCCGGCCCTCCAGTACGATTTGATTTCGATTCATTCAACCGCCATGACAGCGGTGTGCACACGGTTTTCTTCGGCCCAATTGTCAAACTGCGATACCGTTTCGGCTGAATGTAAACAATAAGCGTCGTTGGGCCCTCGCCTTATCAGTAAACAAAACGAGGAAAATAGATAGGACGTTAAGCAATCGATATTCCGGTGGGATCGCAATGCCCCAACCCAGCGATTAACAGATTTAAAGAGCTTTAATGCTTGGCAAACAGTCCATGACACAACTTATTGATATTCTTAACCCTAGACATTCCTCTCAAGTTCCCTATATACAGAAAGCCAAAGCCAAGAGAGCTACTCCTCATCCTTTATGCAATTCTCGACCAGATCCCGCAGGTTTGGGTTTTCCATGGCCGCCGCGATGCGCTCCTTGTCATTTATTTGCTTATTTACTAATGAGGCAAAAACATTTAAATTAGAATTTATCCATTAATGGTATATCAGAAGGTAAACTCACTTTCTTCTTCTGTTTGGTGGGCACCCTTTTTAATGAATATGTCTAGCTTTATATTGTGGGGCAGTCCACGTTCCACTTTCACGCGTATACAGAGTCCAATAAGCGTGGCCAGCGAGCAATGCGGCACTGTGGGATTAAACTCGATGCGTACCTGAAATAATTAAAAAAACAAATTAACTAATGTATGAAGTTATATTGCTAATATGCTCTTAAAGTATTATGTAACGAACAACGCGGTGTAGAAAATGTTTTAAATAGCTAATATTTAGGAACGATTTTACCAATGGCTACAAAAAATAACTCCTAGAAAGGTTAAAATAATTTAAAATTCCTTTTTAATTAGTTAGCATTGGATCAAAGATTATATCGACCTTTAAACCTGCTAAGTAAAGATAAGAATTATAACTAAATAGTAAACCCTACACATAACATTTATCTGCATTAATAAACAAACTTAATGATGAAATAAACTATGAGATTAAACTCGTTTTAGCATAAATAACTTTTTGAGATTTTGAATAACGTACAACTGAGACATTTGAGCGCGTTGGTGGCATCACAAATATTCCATCCTCGTAGATAACGTTAAGGTCCTCTAAAGTGCACGGTTTCTCTGGGTCCCGAATGCTGCGCAACAGATCTATGAAAAGGCAACGGAAAATTACATAATTTCTATTATCTATTATAGGTAAAAATCAAACCGTAGATGGTCTCCTGCAGATCCGTGGCATTCTTGTAGCCCAGGTCATGGAGCAGTGCGTCCTCCCCAAAGGCAATGGCCTCATCATCCATCGACATCTGGCTCGTTTTGCGCACTAACTCGTCAGTGTTCTGGCTGCGTCCGCTGATACTGCTGCTTCCACTCCCACCCGTACCGCTCCCACTCCCACCCGTACCGCCGCACGGCGACGTCACGGTTACGACAGTATTGACGCCGTTGTCGGACTCCGAGAGCTTGCGCTTTATGTAGGACAACATGTTTGGCACCTTTTGTGTTCCGTTATCTCAGCTGGTTTTATCTTTACCGTTGTGCGCACTAGTTTTCGGTTAATCAGTGCAGCATAATTCGTTGACCTGATACTTTATTTTCCCAGTTATTCTTGTTTATTTTGTACAATTTGTTGAAATAACCAAAAACAGCAGCTGATTTTTGTTTGTATGAAGACCAGGGCTGCCAGACACAGCTGGCTATAGCTGTTAGATCAATCGATGATGTTATCGATGATATCGATAGATATAACTGTTTCCGCAAATATTTGAAACGTGACAACTCTGATTTTCCTTATCAATTCTTGTCTGCGCTTTTGGCTTAACGCTTGTTATTAGCCAACAAGCTTTGCCGGCTAATCATTGCAAAACAATATTCAGCAATTAAAACAGTATAATATTTTTTTTTTAACAAAAAATACTTTAAAATTGTGCATGGCTGCACAGTGGGCATTATAGCAGTATGCAACAAATTGCAACTACTTAACCCATCGTACTTAAGTCAAAATCACCAGTTAGTAGGCTGTGCAAACGCAGAAATTCGTCAAATTTTCAAGCCCGTCGGCTGCGTTAACAAATAATTCATTTCGTTTTAGTTAGTCGTACGATTTGTTTCTTATTTGTGAAAGCTCGTCGAACGGAAGCAATTTTCGCTTTACCCTTTTGAAAAATAAAGGAAAAAGTTCGTAAAAAGCGAAAGAGCCCATCGAAATCAACACGAAAAAGGAGTTCAATAAAGGTGAGTGGAAAGGGAAAGTGCTAAAAGTGATTGTGGTGAAAAAGTGTCTGAAGTAAAAAGAGTGATGTAAAGAAAATGGCGCTCCTGGAAGAGAACTGTTAATTCCTTCTAGAACCTCAGTTTAATAAACCCGAAAACTTGCTGCCTGTCACTTCGTAGACAAAATCTAAGAAAAGCGGCTCGCGTTTCACAAGTTTAAATTATTTCTTTGAAATAAAACATAAAAAATTAAGTGAGTCTCTTCTAATGTAATACTTGGTATCTTTCTATATTTTATTCTCCAGATCATATAATAAAAATGGTTGCCGATAATATCGATGCTGGAGTGGCCATTGCCGCTGCTGATCAATCCTCAGTGCCTGTGGTCACCAAGGATGAGCTACCGGCCGGCAATTATATCCTAGTGGGCGTCGACATTGACACCACTGGACGTCGTCTTATCGATGAGGTGGGTTTCCTTACTTCTACTCGATACTCGGACCTAACCCCACTTTCAATAAACCCGCAGATTGTCCAGCTGGCCGCGTACACTCCCACCGACCACTTCGAGCAGTACATCATGCCCTATATGAATCTGAATCCAGCTGCGCGCCAGCGCCATCAAGTTCGTGTTATTTCGATTGGCTTTTATCGTATGCTGAAGTCGATGCAGACATACAAGGTAAGTATGAGTATAACTTCTTATAATACTTATACCAAAATATTCCTGTAAACCGAAAAAAATGTACTTACTAAAACCACTCAATTCTCCAATAGATCATCAAATCAAAGTCTGAGATTGCTGCCCTAAAGGACTTTCTCAACTGGCTTGAGCAACTGAAGGCTAAGGCGGGCCCTGGCTCAGATGGAATCGTGTTGCTCTATCACGAGGAGCGCAAGTTTATTCCCTACATGATCCTGGAGTCACTGAAGAAATATGGCCTTTTGGATCGCTTTACTAAGTCGGTCAAGTCCTTTGCCAACAGCCTCAGTCTGGCCAAGGCCTCCATGGGCGACACCAACATCAAGCACTATAGTCTGCGCAAGCTCTCCAAGATCTTATCCAAGTCCAAGGAGGACGAAACCAATGCTTCTGCATCCACATCCGGATCCGCATCGACATCTCCGAGCGACAGCACCATGATCGATACCAATGACATCGGAGATAAACGATCGGCTAAGAATGGTATTCCGGTCGAAAAGGACCTGTTTGATGGCAACGCCAGTGTTCGGGCCAAATTGGCTTTCAATGTGGCCCTTCAGCTGAGCAACTCTGACCGTAATCCAGAACCAGAATCTTCGGAGGCATTGGTAAACATGTTCAACGCTCTTAAGCCATTTGCCAAGTTGGTGGGATCTGATATCCAGGAGCTGGACACCCAGAACGAGAACCTCGAGCGTCAGAACTCCTTCCGCCCGTTGTTCCTCAACTACTTCAAGACTACTTTGTATCACCGAGTACGTGCTGTTAAGTTCCGCATTGTGCTGGCTGAGAATGGCTTTGATTTGAACACCCTCAATGCCATCTGGGCAGACAAACGTATCGAGGGATTGGATATGGCTTTACAGTCTATTGATACGATTAAGAGCGAGGATAAGACAGAGCTTTTGGAGCTCCTGGACAGCTACTTCGATCCCAACAAGACCACGATCAAACCGGTGGTAAAGTCGACCAACAATCGCCGCCGTAATCGTCGCAACAATGGGCAGCTGACTAAGAATGGAGGACCAGCCAGTTCCCGGTCCGCCAGCACAGAGTTCGGAGCTGGAGGTGATAAGTCTCAGAGTGTGTCTTCGGTGCCGGACTCTACAACAAAGACGCCTTCACCAAACAAGACGTCGTCGCGCTCGCAGCGCAAGCGCAACTCCCGTCACAGTTTGGGTGGAACCCCCAATGGACTGAAGGTAGCAGATTCATCATCCTCTGGCAAGGCCGAGCTAAACAATTCGGCGCCTCCTACAATTTCGGTATCACCGGTCGTGGCCCAACCCACGCCAACCCCAGTGGCCATCACGGCCTCCAATTAAACTCTTCTGGTGTCTCCGTAAAGTAAATATCTCATAGAGAATCCTATGTTATTTTGCTTTGTAGATCAAGTATTTAACGAGGGTTCGTCCCTCGAGTAGATTGTTGATTATTTTTATGGATACATACGCTTGTATTTTTATTGAATTTTTATATAAAATCGAATGGAAAATAGAATCCATAATCTTTTGCTTAAAAAAATAGTCTGCTTACAAGGTAAATGTATTTTAGATTTGAATAGTGCTTTTAAATCTGCAGTATTTAACGCATTTTTAAAAAATTTAGGTATATTTTTGTCCCATTTCAGTAAATTAAAAACTGGATGATGAGCATAACACAAGAAGACAAGACAAGAATTGGGTACGGAGATCGGAATATTATGCGAACCTTTTCCTTTTTGAAGAACTAGCACAGATTTGAAACAAGCTCAAAATTCCAGTGGAAACCAAATTTCCCGTGCACACTACTACATAACACGCTCGCGAGCGCGTTGGTGAATGGTTTCTGTGAGTGAACCGTGACTCGTGACGTAAACCGTGACTGTTGAATAGTGATGACACATCGTTAATCAACTATTTAAAAACGAGTGAATGTTAATCGAGACGTTTAAAACTTTAAACTCACCATATGCAGAAAATGAGGATGCTGCGCCCACTGTAATAACACTAGGACTATAGGTCGACACTTTGGAGCCACATATGCAAGTATATTCAAAGAACTGATCGTACGATTATAAAATAACGGAGAAAAACCCAAACCCGCGAACTATGATCTTATAGTATAAAACAGACGGCTTTCGGATTTAGGCATAGTTTTCCAGGCGAACAAATGCACAATGTCGTACCAAGATGGGCGATTGGAAAAATATGAGCCAACGAGACGCCTCGATGAAAATTTTCCATTGGACAGGTCTCTAGAAGCACACATCAGAACCTATTAACCTAGACAGAATCAGGCCTAGTCCAATGTCGAGAACTTTCACTTCGAAGCTAATGTACACGATGACAACAGAATATTGTATATCAAATACCAAGCACGCACGCACACAACGTAAGAAGTAAACACAACTAAAGGTATCAATCATTTATTTCGCACATTATATAATGAGAGGAAAGAAGAAACTTAAATTTGCATTACCCAGTACACTTCAAGCTGTATTTCATAAATGTTTCATATTTGCATACACTTAAATCCTAAGCAAACGTGATCTTTATAAAAGCGTAAATAAACTACATTAATGTAAAGAAATTTGAAAAGAAAATTAATGTAAAGAATTTGAAATTCCCTCCAAATAAATCGACTGACTATCGCTCAGTCACTGCTTTCCTGGCGCAGGTGCATCGCTAAGTGAGGCCGTATTCGCGACTGGAAAGAATGGGCCCGTGGATCTTTCATTCGTGGTGATCACAATCAGTGCAATATCTCGCGTATCTCGGCCAGAATGGAGGTCGATCCGGCGGAAGAGCCTCACGATGAGGAACACACTTCCATATACGATGGTTATACGCCCGATTTCTGGTATTTCAACATGGCTCACGGAATGCTGGTGGAGATCTCTGAGGAGCTCCGTGCCAAGTTTCCTCAGGAGCCGCGCCTTCGGTTTTCCCAGCTAAACAACCTTCACCTGGCGGCCAGGAGTGGCCAGATGTTGAGTTTCGTCGAGATTCTGAACACCGTTAGTTGCAGGGCTGTGCAAGCCCACCTGGTCAATACAGTAAGTACCCGCTGGATAGAACGGCTTTTTGCGTAATTGCCTGAATTTACTACTGCGTCATTAATGAAAATCGCCGCCGCACGTATACGTATTATTCGGTTATATGTAAAAACAAAGTCTGCTGCCGCATAGAGCGAGTCTATACGCTCCATTGCTGGTTTTTTGATGTCGGTATTTACTTGGTTTGTCATTGTTTATGAGAGAGAAAGTGTGAGAGGGGGCTGCCACATGCTCTTTTCATTATACAGGAAAAACCCGCTAAACGATAATATTACCGAATTATTAACTTTTCATATTCTGAACACCGTATTTTTTTGACACCACAATTCGTAAACAATAATTAAAGACACTTGGAATTTAAGCACTATTTTGAACTAGTGATCGATAATATAATAGTCCTTTTCTGAAGCTTTTATTTCTTAAGGGGTGTTTACTGTGCTAGTATTTGTTGTGTTTTTATAACTTTACTGCCTGCCAAAAAGACAAGCAAAATCGCAGCCCATTAATGACCGAACAATACAGATCCAAACACTATTTAAGGCACCAAAAGTCACAGTCGCAATCAATTGGATATCAAGTGGATGACACTTGGTCCATCTTTAACCAATTACTCAGGGTGGCGTGGCTATCTGGACACGGAATTGGCTTGATGCCAGGCGTAATGCTATGCAGTTTCCTGAAATCCGTAAAACGTGCGTTTATTAATTTGTTTATTAACAAAATATTTTCACACCTTTGCTGCTGCGTCGTAATCTAATCAAACTTGTTAGCAAAAACATAGGTCTCTCATAAATAATGCAATAGAGTAATTTCATAATATTTTTAGAGGCTGAGTGTTGTTTAAAGATTAGCAATCAGTTAATGTTTTATATACTAGAATGCTCTATATACTTTTAACCTCTTCACCGACTTTTGTTTTTATTAAAAAGCTCTTGAAAAAAGTCTGATTCATATCGCATTTGGTATATAAGCAACAGTTTTCTATCATCAAATATCAATTTGGTTGGTTGGCTTTTGTTGCTGATCCAGAATATACATATATATTGTATATATTTCTTGTGGTTGAAAAAGTTTTCTCTGATCATAAATAAATATTGAACAGGTCTATTGAAAATGTATTTAAAGTGATTTCACATTTTAATTAGAGCTGTTGTGATGGTCAAAAATATAGCGGCACTGTCCATGGCCCATATATTAAAAATATTTATTTTTAATTCTAATTTAAAATTGCAAAATATAATATTGATATTCATCAATATTAATATTTGTTTTCTGTGTAGAAATGCGTTTGACTTTGCATCTACTCCCCCTCTTTTTGCCTCATTCTCTCTCTCTGAGCCGCGATGGCTCAAAGGAATGCAGGCGAACAGCTGCGGGCGGTAAACAAACCCTCAAGGACCTCTCTCCGCAAACAGCTGTTTGGCCCTGCGCAGGATCTATCGCTCCCTCTTGATGCGTTTCAATACGATTCAACCCCCAAAAACTGGCAGCGTATGCAAACTTAGGGTTGAGAATGGAATCGTGAGCCTGGCGAAGTTTTATCGAGTTTTTCGGTCCTCGGACCTCCACTGTCCAGGCAGCTGCTAGTTAAAATTCAGATTCCAGGCCATGCACGCGGAGCTGTATCGGTAATAAATGAATTTATAGCCCAGCTCCAGCTACAAAAATCTTCAAATCAAACCGCTTTTCCCCATAAAAACTAATTGCAGCACTCGCAAGCGGTGGTATGAGTCCGCTTGGCCGGGAGCCGGATTCTGGCGTGGAGCTAGCGACACACTGCCTGTGACCAACTACATCACGTATCCGGCGGTGAGTGTCCCTTACCAGCAGTTTCTTGACCCAGATCCAGATGTTGCTATTTCCGTGGCACAACGCAGTAGCCAAGTTTATGGACTTTGGCCTGGATGCTGTTTTTCCCATGTTTATTTTCGACCATGTAAAGCACAAAGAACAAAGAACGCAAGCCCGTTTTCCCAGAGATTTTCTACCTTACATTTATCACTCGCAACGCACTATTTTCGTCCGACCTTGACTGTGAAACGGCTGCGCACGCACATCATAAGTTTTCATTGGCCCCATCTAACATTCTGTTTTCTATATTCTTTATCCTACAGAATTTCGATCAACCAGATGGACAATCGCTGACCCCGCTTACCATGGCCGCAATGTCGGGCAACGTAAAATTCGTCAAGACCCTGTTGTCCCACTATGACGTCGATTTGGAACGTGAGTGCAATGTCATTTTTGACGGAATGGTGGTCTACGGAGCCACCGCTCTGTGGGTGGCTGCCGGAATGGGGCATTTGCAAATAGTTAAGATGCTTGTCCAAGCGGGAGCGGCCATCAATCACAATACCAAGGCGCAGTCGTCACCGCTGAGAGCTGCCTGCTATGAGGGTAAGAATCAATTCGATGTCCTCTCTCGAAGTTTGGACTTTAAGCAAACAAATAAAAGCTAAATATTCCTATATGAGATCTCTTATAAATATTGAATATTATTATTAATATGAATACTCTTACAGGTCGCTTAGACATCGTGGAATTCCTTATTGATAATGGAGCTGACGTAAATGCCACGAATTTGTTTAACAACAACACGCTAATGATTGCCGCCTACAAGGGTCACCACTTAGTGGTAAACACCCTACTTCAGAATGGATCAAGAGCCAATGATCAGGCCCTGTGTGGAGCTACTGCCTTGCACTATGCGGCAGAGAGCGGTCACCTCGATGTGGTGGTGGCCTTGCTGGACCATGGAGCCATTCTTAAGAAGAATGAGCTGGGCATCACACCCGCTTTGCAAGCAGCTGAACGTCTTCACGAGGATGTCCTCGAGGCGTTCATCCAACGACCAGGACTGATGAGTTTAGAGGAACAGATTACAGCTCTGGAGCTGCTAGGAGCCACATATGCGAATGACAAAACTAAGTACGATGTGAATAAGGCGTATAGCTATCTGCTGAGAGCCATGCAGCTACGTTACAGCAATCCACGAGGTGTGATCCGAAAGAGAGTTCAGCCCACTGTGCCTGCCTACGACAATTGGTTTGAGACTGAAAACCTACCTGAACTTTATGCCATAAAACTAAACCATCACTCCATACATATGGAGTCGCTAGCCATAAGGGAACGCATACTGGGCCGCAATAATCCGGAGCTGCCTCAGGCAATCATTTATCGGGGAGCTGTGATGGCGGATCAGGGCAGATTTTACCAGTGCCAGGTGCTTTGGAACTACGCCATAGATCTTCGAATGCGCAATAATGTGAGTGTGACCTTGATACGCTTTATATGTAGATGATTTTATTATTCAATGTTTAATATTCGACAGGTTTCTGTGGATCGCGATCTCCTACGTTTTGCCCAGCTATTTGCCCAGATTCTTCGGGTAGAGAACCACAACCTTACGTTGGATCACGTTTTGCCCGTTTTGGCCAAGTGCCAACAGGAGATCGAGAACAATAAGCTTAAAATAAAGGAAGCAAAACCCAATGCTTGCCCTAGTCTGTGGCAGGACCAAAATAATCAGAACTGCATTACGGCGTTATATCTGATTAAAATCGTGACACACTTGGCGAGACGAAAGAGGGATCAGAACATTGACGAGGAGCATATTCAGCAACTATTCTTGGTAGTGCGCAAGTTTATACAGAACGACACTCGTCTGCAAGATGGACAAACGCTGCTGCACATCGCGGTTAATGGAGTGATGCCGGTGGATGAGTTCTACACGAATGAAATGTGCAGGTAGGGTTAAGATTCATAGAGGATAATGATATTCTCAGACTAAACCTTATCTTTCAATTTAAGATTCCCCTGCTATGCCACTGCTCTGGTCCTGGTGCACTGTGGAGCTTCCGTGGTAGCTGTGGATGCGGCTAGAAACACTCCCTTGCATATCCTAGTCACCAAAATAAACACGTCACAGGATCGTCAAGCGGAGATGGCGCGTATTCTGCAACTGTTTGTAGAGGCAGGAGCACATTTGGATGCGGTAAATGCGGCGGGACAGACAGCGGCTACAGCTTGCAAGCAACGTAAGTTTATGGATTAAACTCAACTTAACATTATTAATAAATTTACCATTTATAGCTATATTGGCAAATCGGCTGCACGGTCATCAAAATGCCCACACCAGCCTCAAGTGTTTGGCTGCCCGCACCATAGCCACTAACCGGCTAAACTTCAAGGGTCTGATACCCACGCAACTGGAGGCCTTCATACAAATGCACAGCGTGCACAAGGTTCTCCCGTAGATTGCCAAAGGCATAAGCCGCAACTGAAGTAATTAGAACTGTGAATACACTAAGCCACGTTGGAACACATTTATGTATCAATTATCTTGGGTGTCTGTATGTACGAGATACATATATCGAATTTAGTGACTTAATTTAGCCAAAAGAATGCAAAGGGAAATGTTTTATTTTTTTACACATTTTATTTAGTATTTTTCACTCTTAATTTATTTACAATTACAATCTGTAACAACCGCACACGTGGACTGACTGTTTGTTTGTAATCATTAATCATAATCATAACTATTAATCATACCTATGTAAAATCATTTTGTACATTTTTTATGTAAAACTACTATTATTCGCAGTGCAAGATGGCGCAGGCCACCTAAGTTGAATCAATCGAATTGATTATGTTGTTTAGGTGCAAGTGAAATAAAAAACCAACCAAAATATATAAATCACAGCTGACCAAGGCAAAGTACGCTTATATACATTTTAATAATCCAAAAATCTTGGCTAGATGTCAGCATCGCTGATCTTGTGGTTGTTGTGGCGAACCTGAGGATACACTTGTGGCTGGCGCATCACTTCCTCATAGGATGGCGGAGGAGCTTTAGATACATCTTTATTATTTACTCTCTTAAAAATATTTAAGAGATTTGAACTCACCATTGATCACGTAATCCTCATCGTGCATATAGGCAGGATTTATCACGGCATCCGTGGGATATGTTCTCTCGATAGTCCGCTCTTCCAAAGTCGAGCGTTGCGAGCGATGAGAATATCGCTGCAGATTCTCTGTGTTTCGATGAAAGTTGTTCATATAATGATCTTCGCGTTCCACATCATCGTGCTGCAGCTGGATTACGTGGACAGAGGGACGACGTTCTGGGGAGAAATTGTCACAATCAGTTTGGTTATTAATTAGATAATATTTCTGTCTAACTGATAACGAAAATAATTAGAAATCGCAATTATTATGGTTATTTTCGAACCATTTTACCTAATGGTAAAAAAGTATCAACCACGTAGGAAAAGAAGAACTATACCAGTATCTGCGATAGCATCGGTGTAGTTTTCCCCAAAGCGAAAAGGAGCGGCTAAGGACTTTTTGCACTTCAGAAACAACACGATCAGTATCCAGCCCAGAATAAGAACCAGGTAGACAAATCCCAGCATGCTCATGTGAAGGCCGTTAATCCGACCCAATGGGTCGACGAGGCTAGGACTTTTCCTTGACTTGTGCTCCTAGCGCTCCACTGGGGTTGCCAAAAATCGATAAATGCTGTCACGTTGGCGGCGTCGAGTGGTCATTGTTGTCGCCCGACGGCTTGCACGGAACAACTGACCCAACTAGCCAGCCAGCCTGAAAGTCGGAACGGCGCTGCCGAGGGACCGTCGCCATATCAGCGGTTGGCCACAACAGAAACGCAGCTAAAAACAAGTGGGTGGTGTCCGGGGTGTTAGAGGATGGGAACTTCCAGAGTTCAGCTCAACGGTTGACAGCTCTGATTTCTGGATAAGCATTAAAAATTCCGTATATGTCGATAAATTAAGCAATGAGTGATAAGGAGCAAAAAAGGGCACTCTGTATATATATATGCATGGAGTTATTCTCCCTGGGGAGCGTGGGATGTGGGCAGCTATGAGCTCATTGGAATAAAAATTAACTAATTCACTTGACTCATATGTTCGTGCCATACGCTACGTCATGGTTGTGGGGTTAATAGCCCACTTAGCATTATGCGGCCTTTAGGCTTTCGGCCATAACCATCCCAAAAATAGACCCTCGAAAATTGCCCAACTGTCCTTAGGAACTCCATTTCGATTGCAATTGGCTTTTATTTCTCATTTCACTTTTATTTACTTGATGTTATGTTTCTCTTTCCTATTGTGTGCTTTGAATTTGTTAATAAATTATTAAAGCCTTAATTCTAAAGGGTCTTGACTTACGAGTTTCGTTCCTAACAAAAAGGAGGCGTAACACTAAGTTAACACTAGTTCTGGATGAGACGTAAGGGTCTCGAAATGAGGAATTTGGACAGAAGAGGTCAAAGGAATAAATGGAAAGTTTAGTGAAAGTTTTTATTTGATAAATGGTCTTCAACTGAAATGTAAATACTTAGTTGACCAATATTCCTAGTCCTATTCCTTTGACCACGGCTGTATATATAAGTTGAATATATGGGAGTTTCGGGATACGTATCGATTATCTTATGGCACAAGGTGGTTAGTGTGGGCCAACTATTTGGATTAGTGCAGTGGAACTTAGGACTACGTATATATATCGTCTACAGCTACTGAAGTCGGTACAGTCGTTACTGTACTATCACATGGTTTATTGAGTGGGCAGGTGCAACATCCTGCTGATTGATGCTTCTGCTGCCGCCTCACAGGCTAGTCGTGGCCTGCAGCTTGAGGTATCGCGTCCCGTTTTCCGCATCCGCCAAGCGGGCTATGTGATCCGAGGCGGCATAGCAGGTGGTGGCCGTCGGAGTACCCGGCCTGCTGTTATTATTATTGTTGTGCATACTGCTGCTGTTGCTGCCAATGCTATCGTTATTTCTGCCACCGCTTCCATTGCCATTACTGCCGCCCGACTGACGGATCCTCGTGGCTCCCCAGATCAGGACCAAGACAGAAGTGACCAGCACTCCAAGACCCAATCCTGGCAAGAAACTCTTGTTCAGCGAATCAATAACCGTATAGCTGTGAAGCAAAGTCGATTGCTGCGTCTGTTGGGGTTGACTTCCGACCACCGAATTGAAGCGTCTCTGATTCAACTGGTAATCCTCACCAGCTTCATGGACCGTCTCTGGTTTTAGTTCATTGGCGCTGTAGTAGGGACGTCGCTGGTACTGACGGGATAACGGAACTGAGCCCGGACTGCTCCTCTCCAGCTGGGTTATATTTGAGCAGCCGATGTTAAGATCCGCCTCTGGATTCTTTTCCTGGATCATGACCAGGCAAAAGCGATAGCTGTGAAAAGAAAAGGGGAAAGTTAGATATTTATTAAATTAATTGATTAGTGAGGAGTTTACCTTTCGCCTATTTCCAGAGAAGAACTATCCGGCACTATGACGCTGACTGTGTTCTGACCATTGACTACTTTACTCTCGCAATGGATCTGCAGGGGATTAAGGATTTAGATTTTGGAATATGATATAGATAATCCAGCTAATTACCGGTGAGTTGTCTATAAGAATCTCGTTTATGTGCTCTTCTTTGTAAACAAAGATCGCATCGCACATATAGTCTTTTTTGCTAAGATTCAGCAGCCAGGTAAGGATCAAGCCATAGTCCGCCGAAAAGTGCAGCTCATGTAGAATAATCTGTGGGCATAAATATTTATTTTTCATCTGGCATTTTTATCGCATGCTTATAAAGCAAATATCTCCAGTTAATGGAAGTGTGTTACTGGACAAGTTGCTAAGTAACTAACTTTTATGATGCTTGAGATAAAGTTTGTTCAAAGTTCAAAAAATAATTAAGAACTGACGAACAAAATAACCTTGAACTTGTGATAAGAAAACTTTTGGCAAATACAGAATAATCATAAGCAAAGCAGAATGCAAAACTTACCTCCTCGGAAAGGTCCTTAATAGGCGACGTCTGGTTTGGTTTTGCCAGGGTCTCCAGATGCTGGATGATGTTGGCGTTATCCTTCTCCACGTTGTCCATGTCGCAGCTGAGAGTCTCCACGGGAACCTGGAGAAGAGGAGCTCCCTCCAGCCTTGGCGGCGTCACACAAGAAGCACTCAGGCTGGATTTCAGCTGGGACTCCTGCAGCCACTCGGCGAAGGGACGGATGCTGCAATCGCATGAGAGAGGATTCTCCTGCATCTGCAGATTCTCAAGTTCCCGAGCCCCATCCATGGCATTTCTGGCCACAATCGAGATATCATTGCCCGCCAAACGTAACTCCCGAAGAGATGGTAACGGTGCTATCAAATCCGAGGTCAATGCTCGCAGGAAGTTATGGGTAAGATCCAGTACGGTCAAACGGGACAAATGTTGCAGTGAAGCACTGGAGATGGCTACGATGCCATTGTAGCTAAGATCCAGGCTGTCCAGTGCTCCCAAACCAAAGAAAGCATGATCCTGCAGGACATCGATCTGGTTATGGCGCAGAGAGAGGCTCACCAGTCTCGAGAAGTTGGCCAATGCCTTGTTCTGGACGCTCTTTATGAGATTCCTATTAAGATTTAAGCTTTCAAGGTTCCTCATTCCTGGGAGAGTCTGCTCACTAAGTGGTCCATTCAGGTTGTTGGCCTGCAGATCCAATTGCCGTAGACTGAGGCACTGGCTTAGCGACCTCAAACTTTGAGCATAGTCACCCAACCTATTCCCGCCCAGCTTCAGCACCTCCAGCTTGCGAAGATTAACGAATGTACGCTGGGAAATGCTTGAGATCTGGTTGTTGCTCAGCTCCAAGTAAACCAAACTGGTCAAACCAACAAAGTCGGCAGTTCCCAGGGCTTTGATCTTGTTATTGGCCAGATCCAGACGCTCCAAGGCGCTCAGCGTAGATAAAGCGTTCCATGGCACGCTCATCAGTGCGTTTCCGGGTAGTCCCAGTGCCTGAAGAGGTCCTCGGATTCCTAGGAAAGCGGACTTGTGAACTCGCTTAATTTCGCCGGAAGAGATTACAAGACCGTGCAGCGAAACGCCATCAAAGATCTTGGCGTCGCTCAGGAAGGTCACATTGCGCAAGGAACAATCCAGCAAGGATATCGAATAGGGAGAGGTTCGTAGTCTTTCTGCCAGCAGCTGAAAAATTAATTAATTAGTTAGTAAAAAATTAAAAACTATTGTTTGTTCTCCTTAAAATTCTAGGTAAATGTGTTGTGATTATAGGGCGATTAATTTATGGGGCAATTTGAATGAAATTGACGCTTTATTATCACTCTCTCAAGAATTTATAAATATTCATTTTGGATTTATTCCAGGAGCTTAGTTTTTGTTATATAATCTAAGATCGCATGACTCCGTGGCGCAACGGTAGCGCGTCTGACTCCAGATCAGAAGGTTGCGTGTTCAAATCACGTCGGGGTCAAAGTTAACAGTTGAACTCTTTTTTGTATCTTAGATACTGATAGTTTCAGAAACCTTTCTAGGGCTTAAGGAAAGTAATGGCTGATCTATAATGTGTATATAATCCCAAAGGACGTACATTCTTTGAGGCCGTCTTTTGTGCTCATATGTAACCTCAGTTATATTTGGAATAATGAAATTATTATTAAGACTACCCGCTAGGAATGAGAGTAACAGAGCTGAATGCACCTATCTTATCAATATTTCTTAATTATTTTTGATTTATTCTTAGAGTTTAGTAATTGATTAGGAGAAATAGGCACTCTGATTTCAACTTGACTCCGTGGCGCAACGGTAGCGCGTCTGACTCCAGATCAGAAGGTTGCGTGTTCAAATCACGTCGGGGTCAAAGGATGAGACTAATATATATATTTTTGTACCTTCATTCTTCGTTATTGCTTTTTAGACTATAATCTATGAAATATGTCTAAGTAATACCTTAAGTTTAGATAATGACTTACCAACATGCCGTGCAGATCGATGTTGCACCGAAGAGTATGGGGCAGGTCGCATCCGCATTCCAGTTCCGCGTTCCGTGTGCCCGTGATATTGGGGCACTTCCACTCCATGAGGTCATCGTCAACAGGGAGCGGCAGTGACGAAACCTGTCCCGCCTTGCGTTTTCGCGGTGAACTCTTGTTGACATATTTCGCGTTGGAGGATTTGGACTTTCCTTTACCGGAAACCGGGGCAGGTACCGCAGCTGCAGATACCACATAGGCGGTGGGTGTGGTTGGTGATGGCGATGGCGTCGGCGATGGTGATGGAGCCGGTGGAGGGGTGGTTGAGCTGGTCGTGCTTGTGGTGCTGTCCTGTAGTAGATCCTTGAGGTCATTGGCCGCTGCCAGGGCGCATAGCAGCGAGAGCATGAGAATTGGGCTGTAAATGGAAAAATTTTCATGGAAATTACTCGGACGAGCATTGAAAAGCGAAAACACTTTGACGATGGGAGGGATGCACTGGTTGCACTCTCCACTCCTCACACATCACCAGATCGTGCGTTTTTAGGTCAAGCCGCAGTTGTCACTGACACTCTGACACACAAAAACCCACACAGTGCATCTGTATCCAGCATCCAGTGGATGCGTTTCGGGCTAAAGATTCCCATTGTTATCTCTGCAAGACAATTTGCCAATTTACAGCTTAACGCAATCAAAGCGATTTATTGAATGCACTGCGAGATAATCTTGGGTTTGTCTGTATATCTTATTTATTATACAAATTTAATGTACTTCTTTTAAGTTGTTAAATACCAAGATCACATCAAGACAGTCTAATGAAATTTTGAAGAAGGTCTTTAAAGACCATTTTCTAATTTTTGTGAGTGACCCCAATTGATGAGTAACCCGCACATTTTATCCATGTCACCAGACCGCTCCCGAGTGTCGCCTCCCATTTCCAGAAGAAAACAAAAACTGCGTGCGAGGCTTTAAAAACCCAGATTTCGGGCGCTACGCATCCAGTGCCGTAGAAACAATTCCGTAGCAAAGTGCCCAGTACTCGCAGTTGCCGCGGAGGGAAGCTCTCTGGAATCTCTCAAGCCCAAAAGGATTAGCAGTGGTCCCAATCAATCGATACCCTTTTAACCCGACATGGCCAGTCACTTGCCCAAAGGTGGTGCCCTTGTCCTCGTGCTCAATCTTCTCCTGCTTTCGCAATGGGAGACCGAGTCAAAGCTGCTGACACGTTGCCAATTGGCTAAGGAGTTGTTGCGTCACGACTTTCCCCGCAGCTATCTGTCCAACTGTAAGTATAGTTCACAATATCTTATGGATGTAAGGTCAAAGGTACGGGTTCAATAAAATATATCCCTTCTTCTCAGGGGTTTGTTTGGTGGAAGCAGAGAGTGGACGCAGTACATCCAAATCTATGCAGCTTCCCAACCAGAGTGTCAGCTATGGACTCTTTCAGGTGGGCTAAGCCAAGTTTCTTATCTGCTATTTTTTGAACAGCTCAACGCTAATCTATAAATTCACAGATCAACAGCAAAAACTGGTGTCGCAAAGGTCGTCGTGGAGGAATCTGCAACATCAAATGCGAAGGTGAGACCACATTCCCCAAACACCCACGTATGAGCCGAATAAATGAATATGAACCGCTTTCCATTGCAGAGTTCCTAAATGATGAGATCTCGGATGACTCACGCTGCGCCATGCAGATCTTCAACCGCCACGGATTTCAGGCCTGGCCCGGCTGGATGAGCAAATGTCGTGGGCGCACGCTGCCCGATGTTTCGCGCTGCTAGGACTGCTCTTTGACTCGCTCTTTGCCTTAACTAACTATATGCATAGCTACTAAATCACATAAAGCTTAAGTTTAAGTTACTATGTTTGAAAAAGTGTGTTTATTTTTCCCCGAATCAAGAGATTAAAATGATTTCAGGAATTTCCCGCTATCAGCTTGGAGCCAATTGCAATTGCAAAGCTGATGATTTTTTTTCAAAATGCTAATCACTCACCTTAGACTAAATATTAATAATATTTTAATTTGAAAAGTTGTTCAGAGTTTCCCTTCCCCTTTCATCGACGTGAAAAAGTAAGGTGGCTCCAACGTTTATTTTAAATTAATTTAGTTTTTTATATTCTTCTGATAGACACAGGAAGATATTGAAAAAAATTGTATAATAAACAAGTCCTTTCCCACGAATATTAGGTGGTATCGCAGCTTTGCTTTCATAATCTCAAAATTCGAAATATAGTGGGTAATCTTTTTTAAATAACGTTTTTATTTTCCCCTGTAAGTGCCATAAAGAAAAGATCATTGAACTCGATTGATCACTGAAATATACCCATTCACAAATATTACGAAAGTTCCGAGAGTTACGGGCCCACCTGAAAAATCGGAAAGTTTCTCCCCTCTCCGAACCACCCTAAAACATCTGATTTGTCAGAGAGTTCAGGTAGTAAGTCAACCGTGACAGCCGCATACCTTATCAGCTTTATCAAACAGCCGAGCGAAATTCATATGGGCTGTGCTCTGCGATCGGCGTTTTTGGGAGAGAGTTACCTAGACTCAGAAGCGAACTGAGGCGCAATTGTATCTGAGAAATACTTGGGCGTTCAGTACTTAAACTCGGGTCAGCTGCGTCGCACCGGCGTGCTAGCTTCCCATCGGAACCGATCGGTTGTCCAAATCATAGAAACGGTTGTCCAAAAACGAAACTCACGAAACGCGGTAGGAAGATAAAGATACTCGCAGTTCCCCTCAGAAAACCCGTTTCCTGCTGTCGATATCGCTGTTGTTCTGCGTTAATTAGGTAAACAAAGTGAACAAACAGTTTGCCAAAGTAAAAGTGTTCTGCCAGAGGAAGTAACTCTATCTCATTATTACATTCGCTTGCATGCAAATCTCGAAAAAAAAGTGAAACGTGTACAGTGCGTATACTTAATGAGCTCCAGAATGAAGTTGTTTGTTTTAGTTAGTTTTTGGTAACCTTGAAATGATGATTTATTAGTGAATTGGTCATGCCTATTATTTTTATTATTTACATAAAAATGTTAACTTTACTTTAGATGAGACCTTTAAGTTCTATAGGTTTATGACTTTAGTTATACGGAATAAGTCAGGCATTCTACGAAACATGAAACAAATAATTTATAATATTCAATTGATAACGAAACAAAATCTCATAAAAATCCAAGATAAGAAAATGGCAAAAACCATTTATAATAAACATTTTCCTGATTATAAATTAATACGTTAGTTATTAGTCTTTGGGAACTCAATAAGCATCAACTTTATCTAGTCTCCTTACAAAGACATAATTGATAGATACATTTATCTTGCATATAAACCTTGTTATATAAACTGATAAAGATGCAAAAAGAAAACTTGTACAAGGCCACAGAATCGTGTGGGAGTAAACAAAGGCATAAATAATGATTATTTGTTAGTGAGTTCATTATGAGCCAGAGATTTTGAATTTCTTGTTTGGTGTTAAAATCAAGAATTGTCATGGGAAACTGTGAAAACCTAAAGAACTGTGAAGAATCTCCACCAAGAAATGCCAACACTTCTAACCATAGTTAGATAATCAAACTGAAATCAGGTGTTATAGCTGCCAAATAGGGAAGTGCATATAGAAGGGGGCACAGAAATTATGCGTTCACCAGAACTCTTTGAACTGTTTGGGTGAATGGTTAAGTATGTCCATAAATAATGAGGTAACACCCTATAATCGGAACGATGGGTCGTCTACTTTTAGAGCTGCTGAAAATGAAAACTCTTTGTTTGTGGCTTATGCTAGTGCTGATCCTGTTGCAGCTGGGATTGTGGCAAGTGGAAGCCAAGAAATATCAGCGCTGTGAACTCACACGCGTTTTGGTGGAAAACTATAACTTTGACAAGACTTTCATCTCCAGCTGTAAGTGATTTGCATATTATCGTAATTAGTATTTAACTAAGGATACTTTGGACAGGGATCTGCCTGGTGGAGCACGAGAGTTACCTGGACACTACAAAGATCACGAGAAAGGAAAACGACAGCAAAAACTATGGTCTCTTCCAGATCAACAGCCGGGATTATTGTACTGAAGGACGAAAAGGAGGGCAGTGCAATATGAAATGCGAAGGTGAGTTGGAAATACAATTAAAAACCTTTAAATAAAAAAAAACTAACAAAAGCAGTTACTTTTCATTATTTAAGCAATCGAAATGAATCCGTTTTATATTTCAAGCAAATTAAAAGCTAAATTCAAAGTGGCTACAGATAATAAAATAAATTATATGCAACATTTAATGAGTTTACGAACAACATTCACTAGTTAGTATACATTTAAAAAAGTTTACTTTATTAGTTTTTCAATATTGAATGAAAGCGTGGGTGTTTATAGATGAGATTTGATTAAACTCGTCAAACCGGAGGTTAGTTCATCTCCATGATCTTTTAATCTTCGGATTTCTTAATGAACAAAGTATATAAGATAAAAAGGTGGAGTAAATAGTTTTAAGTTCTGAATTTTAAGAAATTGATGCTCTATATTCAATATCAACATAATTCTTTTTTCCCAGACTTTTCCAATGACGATATTAGCGACGACATCGCCTGTGCCAGAATGATTCAGGAGCGCGAAGGCTTCAAGTACTGGAAGGGCTGGGATCGCTTCTGCCGCAATATCCAGAATCTGCCCAATCTTCGCGTTGCTTGCAACCTGCGCAGCTTGTCTCCTTTGCGATCACCTCGTGGTTTCCTTCCTGGCTGAACACCCATTCCAATGTACTACCACTTGAAAATCTAACTTTAAAGATATATATATATAAACATACGTGAATGCTTTGCATAATTGCTTGTTCGGATCTGCATTTGTTGGATGCCCACACATGGAGTGCAAATCGGAGTCTGAGGGCTTCCAAGTGGGCGACCTGGCATTCTGTCTGGGCGTTGGGATCTTGATGGCACTTTCCAATGACATTTGCGACTGCAACTGGTGGGGTAATTGATAGCCATGGCTGCAGTGCAACACATAGCAACCGGAGACCCATTCAAAGTCAATCATATCAACTAAGGTTCTTGCCACTGCTCGGCGAACAATATCATTTTGCATTTCCGCTCAACAAAAGGCGGCGTTTCCGTTTCTGGGTAACAATTGCCAACCCAACGCACCGCAGGGCATCAGGGAACCGTGCAAAGCCAAAGGCAAACAATAACAGGTGGAGGCTCAAAAATCAGAGCGTAACTGCCAACTACAATGGCCAAACATGGCCAGAGGAAACACTGGCTGCCCGGTTTCATTAGAATGCGTTTTGCATATGTACGTGGTCAAAATAAATCTCAGTTTTGCTGGTTAAATCACACACGGAAAAATTGATTGGGTTGTAACTTAAAATGTGTTTTAGGGAGGCAAGAATAAACGAAATTAAATAGTCACCACCCTCCAAGATTTAGTAGAGACAAGCAAGACAGCTTTTTATTTACCTCAAAATCACAGTTTATAGTAAAAATATATTCAAATCATTTCTTTCTGTGCAGCAACTACAAGTCAAGTGTTGTGTTGACCATTGCGTACACACCGGCAACATCCTCAACAATAAAAATATTTTAAAATGCAGCTCAGCTCAACTCCACCTCTGTCACGCTAACTGGTCAACGATTCGAAACGTTTGAGTGCCTTTAATTTCCGCTTCACCCCTGCCAGATTTTTTGGTTTCCTCTCCGGTCCTCAGTGAGGCTAATTATGCATAAAGTGCCACGCCTCGCCACTTCCCACCTCTCAGGATTGCAGATACCATCGCTGACCTGTCGCCGACGATGAATCAACGGGAGCATTGGGCACTGGACTCAATCAAATCACAGACATCCCATATCCACATCCATCTGCAAACATCCATTGGCCAACTAGCTGCCTCTTCGGCGTCTGTTTGACTTCAGACTTAGCACGGACTCGCTAATCAAGCCACCACAACCAGTTGTGTCCCTGCCACTTGCCCCTTGCCCCTTTGGATATCTGAATCCAAAACCAAAAACAGTCGTCGCCATCACCTTTTTGTCTGCAGACTGGAGACGCCAGTTTGGGTTGATTATTCATCTGGGCCCAGAGATGCCAGCTCCCACACATCCGAGTTGGCTAAGTCGGGGTATAGGAGAGTATATAATACACTTTCCCAAAAAAAGATGTAAAGGAACTTAAGGAAATTGGTAAGGGTATACATATCTTATAGATGTTTTCACTATTTAAGAGCCGTATGTTTTTGTCTGTATAAATTAACTTGCCTTCATCCAAAACTCTATCTTAGCTAAGAAACCCCAACTTGAGATCTTGAAATCTAAGGTGCTTAATGTGTAGGCGCTCGGCTCATAGCGCCATTATCATCATCAGAGCAAAAACAGAGAGCCAAAAAGCAGGAAAAACTGAAATGCGGCAAGAGGCAGGCCCAAACTGGCTGAAATTAAGGCACGTCAACGGAAATAAACCCTCTACTGTACATATGCGATGGTATATTGTGTATGGTAGATGGTATATGGGTGTAAGCACGGCCAAATGGTTGGAAGTGGATTGCGTTGGTAACGGCAGTGCAACGTTTTCTTTGGAACGAAACGAGCGCGCTGCCTGATGATGCTGCATGAAGATCAAGAGATACAGCGATATGATAATGACGCTGCAAAATGGGTGTGAGTGTGTATACGGTATATGTATTCTGCAGCTGACTCTGAAAACTGGCCATAAAATTTAAAAAACCAATTGGAAATTTCAATCATTTGCTAAACACAAATCGTTAAAAAACTGATTCTTATTTATTTTGCACATAATTTGAGGCTTAACTGGCACACCAGTATTATTATTAGTTTGTTTCTTGTCTTTATTCCTCTCCAATTCGCTTAACACATTTTTGAGCTCCCAAAATGGCCAAAACATGCGATAAGCCACCGAACAATTAAAAACGCGTTTTTGTTAGCTCGCCTTCTTTGGCAATAAATGAAAAAAACGAAAAAAAAATACAGCAAGTAATTGTAGATAGGGAGATAACGAATGGTAGTTGCTCTTTGAAAAAGGTTTTTTTAAACGAATAGATAATGATTAGTTATTTATCTTTATTTTTTAGTTTAAGCATTTAGGTTCGTTACTCGAAATAAAAGTAACTACCGTTTTTTTCCTGTGCACCAACTTGTGGAGTGCAACTTCGGCGTCAGCTGCAGTTGTGTTGCCTAATTATTTATTCGTAAAATATTTTATTTTTTTAGTTCTCTTTAACCGCAAACGAGCGACTACAACAAAACCGGCAGCAACTGTTGTAGTTAGCAAATTAGGCAACATGTAGCTAATCATAATGACAGCAACATGTTGCATAGGCCAAAGGCGAAATTAGTAATTTGCTATTTTATTTTATTTTTTTATTTCTTATTTCGGTTTGGTTTGGGGCATATATTGGGTATCAACCTGCTGGGGCATTGTTCATGTGTTGAAAGCGCATCGAAACGAGCCACATATTGTGAGTGTGTGTGGCAAATGAAATTTATGCCTAGCATGAAAATAGTAAAAGTTGCTGCAAAAGCCAGCCAAAGGTCGAAATGTCACGCAAAAGCGGCAACCACAGACGTGAGGCACACAAAAAAAAACAACAGAAAAACAAAGAAAAATGCTGGAAAACCAAAACAGCTGCTTTCGAAACTGAAGTAGCCACACCAACATCATCCATTGTGGTCCGCCTGGATATTTAGCATGCCGAAAAGGGGAACAAGGAGTCTTACAAAGGGGACGGGAAGCAGAAAACAGGAATTGTGTGGAAAAGCCGGCAAAAGGGATTTAATTGTGGTGCCTATCCTGGTCCTCTTGTCACGAATCCCTTCCCTTTTAGAATCGAATGACTGGACTCTTTTAATCGTCTTTCTACTAAGACGGAAACGGATGCTGGCATTCAGACAAGGATCTCAAATATTATATTTCCATTCACAGCGCTTTTTCATCAGGCCGTTTTCTTTAATTTTGTTTATTTGACAGCCATTTCAAACGGTGGCAAAAACTGTCGGCTTTTAATCTAATGTAGTCAATTATTAAAGCGGGTATTTGTTTATGCCACACTGAATTTTAATACTTTGCAATCGCAAATGGGACATTCGTTTTTGTCAGAGGAATTAATTGGGGAATTAACTTGAATGTTATTGTGATTAATATATACGTATGAAATAAATACTACTTTTATAATATTCTATAATCTTTAAAATTTTCGTAAATGATAAACCAAATTTCTCAGGTAAAAACGCAAAGAAAATGCTTAAGCGAAGGTAAATCTTTAATAACAACCTATTTTCATGTTATATTCGACAGTAATTTTCCTAAAACATTCGTTTTCCTTGAAGCTACATCAGCACATAAATGTGTGTTTGCTGGTATTTTCAAATGGCTGGTAATATTGTCAAAGCGAACAGCTAATCACAGGTCTGACAAACTTGTTTCAGTTGTAAGCAACAAGAAACAGAAAAGCAACAAATCCGAGAAATAAAATTAGTGAGTATTATTTTTAAGAGTGGGCCGACGACAAGTCAACGGAAATGTGTGGGTGGCTGGCTGGCTGTCGTCTCTGGTTTTCGATGTTTTTGCCGTTTCGTTGTTGCTGCTTTTGCCTTTGTTTGTCGAGCTGCCTGTGCTGGGCAAATTACTTTTTAATTGAACACACACGTGGGTAGCTGCTTGGCCAAGAGTACCGACATTCGAACAATTAACCAAATCTCAGACAAAGTAACCAATAAGTGACAGCAGTCGCTGCAAGTTTTTTCTTTTGTTATATCGGATGAGGCCAATATAAGAAACAAAACAAAGCAGAATAATATTAAATAAAATAAAATAATATATATAGGTAAGCGGCCGAGGGAAGAACAGTTGGCTAATCCGATCCGATTCGAAGCGTTTTCCCCTGGGGCAAGGTAAACAAACCATTGGAACGTTTAAGCCGGGTTTTGTTCGCCTGCATTTTGATTTCGTTCACCAAATCTTGCACTTTATGGCCCTCTCAGCCTCTGTCTGAACATGAACATGAATGAACTTGGACCAGGCTGGGTTTAATTTAAATTAAATTGGATTTTTCGTTGCCTTTGCTCTGCTCCAAACTGTTTTTAAATCCCAGTTTGCCTGACTTTTTTTTTGTTTTGTATGCCATTTGCATATGAATATGGCCGACGGCAGCCGCTCCGAACAACTAAAAGCAATTTGAGCTTGAAATTTATGGACACTGTTTGGGTTCTGGTCCGTTCGCTCCTTCAGCTCGAATCACTTGCCGTTTGGTCATTTATTTAATGCTTCAAAATGTGTTTATATATTCTTAACGTGAAACGATCGTCATACTGTATAATGGACGAGCACATCATAACAGCAGACAGGACAGGAAGATCTCATTAAGTTCAAATTTGTATGCCTTAAAAGTAAAACTCAAAATATTTACAGCGAATATTGGAAAATGGTTAGCCAATTTATTTCATCAAGATAATTAAAGCATTTATGTTTCTCCCAAAAACTTGGTTTTATGATTTGGGTTTTCAATTATTTCCGTAACCTACGAAATTGATTTACTTGACTGATTAACTTGACTTGATTTGAGAGTTATCCTCATCGATAAATAAGGAAATGGTTTAAATGGAATGATGAAATAGTTATTAGATATGGTGCTATATGCCACCCAAAAACTTTAAGTTCTTTAATAACCCTCTTTATCCTCAGCGAACACCTCCATCACGTCAGGGCAAACAATAAACCTAAAAACCAAGTTCACTGCCCACGCACACCTCAGAAATCCAGTTGAGACACGAGGAGGCCGCCAACGCATGTGCATAATGCTAAATCGACTGTTAATTGCGACATTTCGAAAGCCGAGACAAGTCGAGCCAAAACACAGCGACAGCAAACCAATAAAATGGAAATCGCTGCTGGCGGGAAATTTGAAAAAATCAATGAAAATTTTAGAGAAAATATTGAACGAAAAGAAAGCCGACCTGGGCACGAAAATAAACTAAATTAAAGATATTATGCGACATCAGTTGGCAGATAGATACCACATTCAAGAGATCTTGGTCTAGCCCACACCACGAGCTGCCCACACACGAATGCAAATGCCAGACAGAGCCAAGTTGTATGGCAAGAAATTGCTCGGATGCTGCGGAGGAGTATGCTAAGTGAATGGCTGTATAAGTTATGCATGCACTGCTAGAAATTAGTGAGACCCTAAGATCCATTCCCTTTGTCTTGGTCAGATGCTTAGTCAGCGAAGCATCATCTTTGTTGGAATGGTTCGAGATGGGGGGACCCAAAAAACATTAGCTCATTGGATCGTCAGATGACAGCGACACACTTTAAGCACAAAAAGTAAGTGGGCAGCATAGGCAGCTGTGGTTGCGCTCCCATTGCCAAATTTGGCAACTGGTTGTGGAGCAACGGCAACAGCAACAGCAGCAGCGGCAAGTAAGTAGCACAAATGTCTCTTATTTTATCTCTTTTCCTTGGCTATATATATATTTGTTGTCCCGCATCAAGCGGTCGCCCACGGTTGGCGAAACAAAAGACTTAGGCAACGAACTTGCCGTGTCAAGCCAAGAAGAACAGAAACCGAGTGTGGGGAATCCAAAATCCACAATCCAAGCCTGGCGGCTAATGAGCCGCATGTAAAGCAGTAAAAAATTATATAAACATTAATTATGAGCAGTCTTTTTTTTCCTCCGATTTCATTGTTATTGTGGGCGTTCAAAAATGAAATGTAAATAAAAAGTCTTTTTCTTTTGGTATTTCATTGTCGCCGTAAGTTGAACCCGAAGATTCAGAGCTGCCCGCTGTGAAAATGATGAGTTATATGATATTAGAAGAGATTGGAGAAGCAACAACAAAGCGCTAATTGCGCGTAAACTGAGCGGGAAAAACAGTGGAGCCTCCGTGTGTGGGTTTCTTCGATTGTCTCTCTTCCAGAGCCCTCGAAATGCGTGGGCAACGACTACGACTACGGTTGAGGCTACCCAGGTGAATTGGGAAAACATTAGCCCGTTAAATTATACGAAATTTGAGACGCGAACAACGGAAGTGCCGTGTGTTGGGCGGCGTAAAATGACTTTTGAGCTGATTGAAATCATTATATCTCTGAATTTTAATACGAGTTTATTATGCGCCCGGGGCTGAATTAACACTACGATTAGGTTGCCATCGATTCCGCCGCTATTATTAGACTAAAATGTGCTAATTTTTGGTACACACGCGGAGAGAGTAGATAAAATGGCGATTTCTATGGTGGGTGTCTTTTATTCAGAGCGACATGTATGTTTATTTGCTATCAAATTAGCCCAAAGACGAGAGACGATAGACGAAAGACTCACCTAAGCTTTGACCACATTCTGATGGCTGGGTTGGGCGAGGAGGTCCTCTTTATCAGCGTGCGAAACTTAAACAGAGCTGCGTTCATAGAACAATAAACCGCATTAACCTGGCCGGGCCGATGTTTGGTTTCCGTTTTCTACCTGACAACCTGGTCTTGCCTTCTGCTCCAGAACGTTTGTATTTAAAATGCGATAAAGATCTTTACGGTGCACTGACGACAATGCGATCGGTGAGCCGTCAGTTGACACCGCTGGAGTTCGGGCTCAAACTGGACTCACGGCTCACACAAACACACTCGCGCACACACGAAATTAAAATTTCATTCATGAAAAACGACACAGGGACTGCAAGTATAGGTAACAATCAACAGAAAGAACCGGAAACGGATGCGTTGTTTGTCTTGCCCCCCGCCAGGACTCTACAGAGTTTCGAAGGGATAGCTATAGGGATGATGTAGACGACCAGGTAGCACTGTATGAGCAATTCCACCGACCGACTATAAACACCACTGGAGTGAATTTCGTATGTCAAATTTGCATTTTCACAGGGCCGAGACGTACTTTGTTTTCAAGTTGCACATGAGGCAGCCACAAAAGTTTTATGCGCAATCAACTGCCACGAACCGGACCCGACGACGTCTGAAACTCGACTGAGCGGCCTACGCTCAGGTAAGGCACGTCGAGCCGCCAACAGAATGATTTCATATGCGTTTTCCTCTCCGCCTCTCGTTTTTTGTTTCGGTTTCTGTCTGGGTGTTGTGTTGTGTTTGCCTTCGCTGTCGGTTCATTCACAAATACTGGTCCGATGAATAGGCTGCCGCCTTCGCCTCTGCATTTATCTGTGTATATCCGAATTGTGTGGGCAGGCATCGGGCATAGTCGAATTGAACATGGCTCGATTCTCTTTTTCGGCTCGCCACAGATCGCATACCGTGCTTCTGCTGGCCTAACCCAAATAAGAGCCACTAGGCGAGCATGGCTAGCTGGAAAAATAAATCAAGTACTGGGGAAAAGTTCTCACACTCGACATGGCATCTGCTTGGCCAACGTTGGCCGTGGGCTATTTGATTTTCACATTGAGTGTGCCGCAAAACAATTTTCTTGTTTATCCATTTATTTCCCCATGCGGACTGGGAGTAGCGCAAATGCACAAATATGGACAGTGGAAAACGGGTTACAATGATTAGCACGCCGCACACACTTCGGCGTCTGGAGAATCTGAGTGGAAACGGGCCGCGTTAACTTAATTAATTTGTGCTATTATCCAGGGCTTCGGTCTTGATGGGCACCAGTGAGGGCGGGATGTTCAACGTCTGCATTGATTAGAGAGGAACCAATTAGCTACTTTCGTTGAGATGCATTTTCTCTAGCCTCACGACTTACCTTGCCAGGACAGGCAGCTTCGTACTGGTGTTTGAGGCTCTCCATCTCGTAGACGCAGGTGGACAGAGCTGTGCGAAGCTCGCACAACAATACCATATCGGAACGCAGTTCATTAAAGGAGGTACATATGTCCTCCGTGGGCGGCGGAGCGGGATCTACAAAGAACAAGCCAATTAGCGCCAGTAATAGAACAAACTTAACGCTTTCACTTACCAACTTTGAACTCCTGGATCGCCTGTTCGAGGGCCTTAACCTTACGCTGTCCAATGTTCGCCGGTAGCTTCATCTTCTGTGAGCGCAGAGAAACACCGGAACCGCGCAGGTCGGCGAACTTGATGCCGCTGCTGCCGATCTCTATGGCGTTCACCACTGAGTCTACTTTGGAGGGTCGCGGCTGGTGGTGAACCTTCTTCTTGTGAAGTTTCTTTTCATATTTCCGAGTGCTGGGCGTATTTGATGCGTGCTCATTCTGCTGATCTGCCTGCGAGATGAGCTTTTGCAGATCCTGGGTCTTGCGCTCGCGCTCTTTCTTTCGGGCCTCAATTTTCTTCATCTCGTTGATGAGCATTTGCTCCTCCTCCACTTGCTGGGTGGTACGTTTAAAGAGTTTCTCCAACTGCTCCTTGCGCCGACGCTCGTGCTCGGCGTCATATACAAATACTTTCTTCTCACTTGTTTGATTCTTAGCCTTAGCCAGCAGAGCCACCACCTCATAGTAGCGCTCTTTGAGCTCCTCTACTGTCTTGGCGCCATGTTGCTGACGGTTCCATCGATCCGCCATCACAATAAACCGGAGGTCAAAACTGGAAATCGCAGAACTTGAAATTTTGCTAATAAATTAAGAAAGTGCAGCCTACCGCCTGGCCAGGTCGAAGAGATGATCTGTCTGCACTTTGCTCCAGTTGTTTATGTTGTTTCTAAGGTGAGCATTGTACTCCGTCATCGTATAGGATGGCACCTCCAGCTGTTTGTTGAACTTGGCGAAGGGATAGTCGGTGGAGTCGTCGCTTACTCGTTTCCAGTGATGGAAGACGGCAGAATCGTTTCGGGCGGGATTCGAAAACGGAGCCCATTCCCATTTGCGCACCTTTTTCATTCCCAGGCGAGCCTTCGTCTGTTTATATCCCGCCCCAATACCCAAAGCCGTATCTGTGGGAAGAAGTGGAGGTGCATCTTTCTTGTCTGTGTAGAGCAGGGCGAAAACCTCCCGGTGCATTCCTTCCGGACGACGAGATGCATTCTTGGTTCTGGCATTAATTAAATTAATTAATAACTATAACACAACCATGTGAATGCGTTTGTTTACCGCTCAAAGTTGCGCTTCTTGGTGGCCAGAAAGGAATCCCTTGTCACTTCGGGCGTGTTGGCACGCTCCATGTCCAAAATATCACGCACATCGGCCGACATGTTTACTTAGCTTTGATTGTTGAAAATATGAAATTTAAATTCCTTGCAAAAATTGTTTATTTTGATAATTTATTGCAAATGTCCAAGTTCTTCTCTACAATGTGACCATAAACACCAAACAAGAAAATACCTAAAGAGCAAACATTTGGTGGATCTTGTTTATTCCAGGGCTACTATATACTAAAAATTAAAACATTAAAGTTTGAATTTAAAACCGTTACCAAAATGCATATAAGCATCTTCAAATATTTATTTATATTTTAAATTCAGTCTCCTAAAATATTTTTTGGTTTGTTTAGCTAAGTGTTTTTCTATAATGCAACAATTATTAATTATTAGCAAAAATATCATAAAATCAAAATGGTATATTTAAAATCGGTATATTGAAACTTTTTATGCGGTAACACTTAAAAGAACAGAAATATTCAACGTGCTCAAAGACAAACAGCGCGGATTGTCTAAAATTATGTTGTTTTTCTGCCCGTCGTGCGGAAATATATTGATTATCGAGGAGGATACAACCTGCCACCGCTTCACGTGCAACACCTGCCCATACATATCTAGAATCAAGCGAAAGATCTCCGAAAAGAGCTTTCCTCGTCTTAAGGTAAGACCTGATTAAGATGATGCAATTTGGTTGGTAAAATGTGATAATATCTGCAATTCCGTTTAATTCCAGGAGGTAGACCACGTTCTGGGAGGCAAGGCGGCTTGGGAGAACGTTGACTCGACGGAAGCAGAGTGTCCAACTTGCAGCCACAAGCGGGCGTACTTTATGCAAATACAAACTCGGTCAGCAGATGAGCCTATGACCACGTTCTACAAGTGCTGCAACCACGAGTGCAATCACACCTGGCGGGACTAATGTGCCTTCAGAGGAACTTCATTCGTCTCGTCCAGACTCACCACAGATCCATTAGGATGCAGCACCAAGTGAGTCAACTAAGGACTCCGGTGTGCCCTGTCGGAGACGAGGCTGCTCTCCAGCTGGCCCGTCAGTGCCTGCTTAGTGGACAGGTGATTGCCCTGCCCACCGATACCGTCTATGGCCTGGCATGTGATGCCAATAACGAGACGGCCATCCAACGGCTCTACGAGATTAAGGGTCGGGATGAACACAAGCCAGTGGCCATCTGCGTTCACAACATTGCTGCTCTGCGTCGCTTTGGTCAGGCTTCCCATCTCAGCGACGAGCTGCTAACTCGTTTGCTCCCGGGTCCCCTGACCATCGTGATAGAGAGGACGCCCCATCTGAGCAACCGGTTTCTTAATCCCAGCACCTCCAAGATCGGCATTCGCATTCCGGACTTTAGGTTCATGCGAGACCTTTGCGCCGTCTGGCAAGATCAGCCTTTGGCTTTGACCAGCGCTAATCGCTCCAGTGCACCTAGCAGTCTGCAAGTGTCCGAGTTCCAATCGCTTTGGCCCCAATTGGGTGTCGTCTTTGATGCCGGCCAAATTGGGGTCACCGAGGAGCGAAGGTTAGCCTCCACTGTTATTGACTTGGCTACTCCGGGCTACTTTGAAATTGTGCGGGCAGGAGTCGCCTTAAAACAAACCCTCGGTCTGATGGAGGAATTTGGCATCCAAGCGCGGAAAATAGTGTAGTATAAGAATAGATTTCCAAATAAATTATGTTTATCATTATTAATTCTAAGTTTTTGCATTCGATAAAATTCCTTTTTACAAGTTTTTTCGGCTGGCTGGATAATTATGTATCTTCAAAAATGAATAGAACAGAAAATTCAAAAGATTTACATTAAAAATTCTTTGGTTTTTTATTACTTTTATTTTTAATTTAGAACATCCTACCTTGCCTCGCATGCGGGAACACAACAATTGATTATAAAATATAAGGGTAATTCTGTAAGTATTTACACATTTGGAACTATCTTTGCCAGGTGGTGGTCAGTCTAGTTGTAGTAGTTGCTGGTATTCTTGGAGGCCTGGATGGGTCTCCTACGACGTGGCAGTTCGGTTTCAATTATCCGCCAGCGTTCTGGTGGCCAGACAATAGCCACTGCTCGTGCGGACATCAGACCCAAGGCCACGGGGCCGAAGGTATTGCTGTCCATGGAGTGACCCGTGTGGTCACCCTCCACCCAACAATGACCCTGTGGAACACGAACGATCTCATGTTTATAACCTAGTGTCGAGACCACATCGCCCTGTAGGCCCACCACGCGTTTGATGATCTTCTGGGCGGGATCTTTCGGCGAGATGAGAGATATTACATCTCCACGTTCTACTTGGCTAGGATTGTTCGAGCCCCAACGGAGCAAAAACACATAGTCCTTCTCATCCGGCACTGGATTAAGAGCAGGTTGCATAGAGATGCCTGCGAAAGGATCACCATTAGAGTTATCTACTAAAATCTCAGAGGATCTGATGACGACTCACCATCCACCCTGGCCACATATCCTACGCAGTCCAGAAAAGTGACACCTAGGGGCAGGGCGTACAACAAGGACTTGCCAAAGAACCGAAATGCCATTGATGAACTGGATGGACCGTGGAGCTATCGAGTTGAATACATAACCAGCTTTTTGCCGAGTTCCTTGTGCGCTCCGGCTCTATTGGCATTCGCAACGAACGCCGACACGGTTTTTGTTTATGCTCGCTAAATACAGGGTCTACCAGTGGATACAATAAGTCGTTTCTTGTAAAGATTACGTTTATTATGGAAGGGGAATTTGCCAGCTATTGTACTTTAGTTACAGGTGTTTTCATATGAAGTTTATTGAAATTTTGACAGAAACAGGAATGTGACTGAGGAATCAGCAGCCTTCCAACTCGCTTGGAATGGGAATCTCGTTTTGGATTGCGAACTGCAAAAGAGCCTTATACTTGTTCTTCCAGTTGCCCACCTCACGTCGCACCTGTTCGTTGTCCTCGTGCATTTGCTCTAGTTCGGTCCACTCGTATGATTTCTTTGTTTCCAGTTCGTCCTTCTGTTCTATGCGCTTGATCCGACAACTGGCTGCATATCCACGATTTTTCAGAGTCCTTCGCCGTTGCTTCATTCGGACAATCTCCTCGCGATTAAGTCCACGCATTTTTAGGGTCCTGTTAAGGTCCCGCACAGAAATGCTAACCAAATCGTCATCGGTTATATCCGGAATAGGACATGGCGAAAGTGGGGCCTGAAAATCACACTCCTATCAGGGTTTTCATTCTCTTTTCATTGTAACTTCAATCTACATACCAGGGATGACTTTCTCTCGCGCTTTGCTTCCATTGTTTATAGTTTTCTTTTATTTTCTTAGCGAGTCAAGCTGTTTGCTCGGTTTTTCTTCTTTTTGCGTTGTTATTGTGTGTCTTCTTCTTCTCTACCTGCTGTTTGCCAATCACAGGGAATTTTGTATTTAAGAGTTGTCAAGTATACACAAAAAAAGTGAAAGGGCGGGTAGTTTAAACATTAATATTTTCGAATCAATGTAATGACTTGAATATAGAAAAAAGTAATTATAAAATAAATTACTTAGTTGTACTAATTATAATATAGTAGATTTCGAGTTGTGTAGCAGCGATTTGCTCTTTGACATCGAGACCCAAAAGCTCGATAGGGCCAGACAAATAACGGCTATCGATAACCATTTTGTGTTTGCATGTGCAATTTTCTCCGACTCCGACGACGCCAAATGATAGCGGGAAAAAGGTCTTGTTTCTGCGAATGTTAAGACCAAAACCTTCGATATGAACTCACAGATTATGTACCACAATGTGCCCACTCCTCCGGCCAACGTGTCCTTGGCGGCAATTGCTCCCGACGGCGGTTTGCTATACGCCGGCATTCGGTGTATCAACTACATATCCGCGCCACCGGCAAATGGTGAACAGCCTCATGTGGTGACTATGTCTACAAGGATAAGCATACTGGCTCTTGATGTGAGTCCTATGTGGACCAGTGGCAATGGAGGAGCTGTGAAGCCATTTGCCATTGTTGGCGATGATTTGAGCGTTCAGGTATGGGATTGCGCAGTGGGCGAGGCCATCATTGGACACAAGGCCCATCAGCATCAGCATGAGGCTCGAGATGTGCGTTTTGTTCACCACACCACCAACTCGGTGCTGATGAGCTACCTGGCTAACGGGAACATACTGTCAATGGACGCCAGTGATCTTGTCATCTACTGTGTGGCCTCCAACACATACTGTCGTCGTCCCACTTTCATTTCACCACGGAATCATCAGCTCACAATGGTGCGCTGTTCTCCCTACAACGACAATTTGTTCGCCGTTGGTACTGCTATGGGAAACGTGCTGGTCTGCGACCTGCGAAAGATGAACATAGTCTACAAGTTCCATGGCCACAAGGCGCCCATCTGCAGTCTGGCCTGGCGGGAGGTACCTGCTCCTCAGGAGGAAAACCTAAACGATCTGACCTCAAGGGCCGAACAATGGCGAAGTCGCAATGGAAGTCAGCAGGAGAAACCCAAGGCGAAGCCACCACCGTTGGCCAAATCCCGGGCAGCCGAGTCTGACGACATGTTTGACATTTATAACTTTGATCACCTGGAATGCGAGTTTGGAGCACCTGTTGCTGCCAGACGCAAATCATCCGAAGACTGTGGCGGCGGATTTGTGGGCCTGGAGAAGCCAGCAGGAGCTGCTGCTTTAGATTTTGTTGAAGCCTGCGAGAGCATGAAGGCGGATCTCTTGGCCAATCGCCAGGAGGAAATCACCCAGCACGTGGAAGTCACCCTAAATGACTGTGAGCCCACAAAGCCCACAGGTCCTTTAAGTGATGCCAGTACCATTAGTAATAAACATGATGCCAGTGATTCCACAGAAGGAAGTCTGGAGGTCATCCAGTACAGCTCGTCTAGTGACGATGCCGTGATCGTCGATGGGGAAGCTGCAAAACCAAAAAGAGAAGTGCTACATCATATATATCATCAGGCTGAGGTGCACGCCTCTGGGACTCCACATGCTAAATCTGAGCCCCACAGCAATCTTCAAACGGTTCCGACGATCAGCACGGAGACCATTAGCTCAACTTCTGTTAGCAGCACCCGTTTGGACACTCTTCTTGTTTCTATTGACGGATATGAGGTGATGATGATTTGGAATGCGAATACAGGAGCGCATGCTGGCAAGAACTACAGCAAGAGCAAGTTAGAAGGTAAGTATCAGGGAGTAACCATTGACAATAATCACTTAACTACTTTTTTCCAGGCAAGATTAACAACGTATACTGGCTGAACGACCGGGTCATTGTTTCCATGAGTCGCCATCAGCTGTTTTTCTGGTCACTGGAATTTGAACGAAAGATGCTGCGCTACAAGATTAGCAAGGACAAAGGGCACAGTTGCCATTTGCAAGACATTGTATCGTTTTCCTGTGACTCTAGCAAAGAGATGATTTGGTTGTGCAGAAACAATCGTCAAATTGGAATGATGAATCCTCAAACTGGACGATTTGGTGCCTTTTACGGCACGGTAGCATTTGGAGTGCGAGCGATGGCCGAGTGCCCTGATGATATGAACAAGTAAGTTGATTCAATAGGTAATCCAAGTGCAAATGTAATTCTTCTCTTTGTTAATCAGAATTGCGTTGGGTTGCTCGGACCGCCGCGTGGCCTTCTTTGATATATCGAAGCTGTCGACCAGCTGCCTGCCCATCGATAGCGTATACGTTGCCAGTAATGTGTATTCCCTGGCCTGGAGTCCAAACTGCCTAGAGCTGGCGTTTGGCACCTTCGACGGAACGGTTCGTTTAATATCATTGTGATTTTATTGGAGATTAAAATGGAATTCGGAATACAATTACAGGTGGGCATCCTTGATGTAGAGCGCATGAAAGTAAAGACCCACTTAGGGACGTCTCACAAGAAGGAAGTCTACTCTCTGGTATGGCAGGACCACTACATATACTTCATTGTTAATCGAGTTTTCGGATTTTTTGACCTAAGCAAATCAAAAGGTGGTGAGTGAAGGCTTTTGTTCTTATTGCATATGTTGACGACAATTATAGGTTTGATTTTGGGCGTTGCGCTGTCCGTAACTGATCTTGGTCTGCGTATCGTTGGTTTGACGCTTTCGAATGTTGGCCAAATGTATTGTTTCTCTATGGTAGTCCCATGCATTCCATGTAACGTTAATCCAATTGGCAGGCGATAGGTCATTGGTAACGACCATTTCGGTTTGACACTTAAAATCTTTTTGTTTTGGAGGTTCAACTATGAGATCCTGTAGCTCCAGCTCTATCAGGGCATCGTCAAGCTTAAACAGAAGCGCAAGACTAGCACTGTTGAATACCACTTTCCTAAAAGTAGCTATGAATGGCTCAAACCGGAGCTCTGCGAAGCGCGCGGATTTTGGATCCCGGAAACCAAAAGTTATGTCTACATTAGAGCAAAGTTTTCTGGTCACTTGGGCCGGCATAAGCAGACCGTTGGTTATAGTCATGGCTAGCGAGCAAAACTCTTTTATATCGGCTTTGTTCAGATTGCAGAAGTTGCCATCCGTCTGAAGGTCCTTCACAGCATCCATACGCTCCTCAAAAGTGCAGGTCTTGGGCTTTTTTATGCGTTTATTCAGTGCCTGTAGCTCGGCAACGGTAGCCTTTGTCAGGGTCATCAATTCGTCGACGACCAAAGCCTCCACCTGCTCCCTTAGCTTGTTTAACTCAACAATGTGGTTTAGGAAGTTGTTAAGATTGCCCCACACCTGGGAAATGTACACAAAGTGCGGCTAGAAGGATGAACTATGTTAGGCTAATTTAAAGTATATGTTGAGTAATGCACTTACAAAGACCAGCTCCGAATCAATGGCAGTCCGCATGGAGAGGGCATCGTTAATCTTGGCGACCACACAGTTATAACGCTTCTGCTCCACTTCTATTAGATATACTGTGCTCTGGTAATGCTCGTTCAGAGTTGTCAGACAACGGTGCATCATGAAGTAGGTAATCGAGAACTGATTAAGACGATTCAAGTGCTCTAGGGGCACTCGATATGTCACGGTCTCATCGATATGATCAATATGTACAAGGTCTTCAAGGGCCGCCTGGCAGATGGATTGCATCTTGACAGCCTTCTCCATACTGGCTGTGAATGCTGCTTCTGTGTTCTTCTGTGCCATTTCCAGATCATCAATAACTAAAAGATATATACGATCAAAATATTACTCTATTACAAGTATTAAAAAGTGATGCACCCACCACTTCTCACATTCTCCCTGTCTCCATCAGGGCCATCATTATTATAAATTACTATGCCTCCCACAGTGGCCGCCAATCGCTGAAGATACTCCAACCGATGGTACTTCTTCTTTAAGACATAATTCTGTAGATCGCTACGTCCGATAACGCTGTTTAGGGCCTGGGCCGTCAGCTTCAAAAGGACATGGTTCTTGGGCGAGCCCAGATTGTAGCAGGCCACGATGAATATCTGCATCTTGGCAAAAAGCTGATCCAGCTGCACCTTACTACATGTCTCCGGGTACTGAAGAATATCCTTGATAAGGAGCTGCAGTTCAGTTTGGAACTTTTCCTCGTATGTCTTTTTGACGTATTCAAGATCTATGGTTACTCCTTTCTTCATCACCCACGCCATCTTAGCATTAGCCATTGTACAATCCTTAGGATCCACATAGCTGTCCACAATTGTATTCACAAAGGAGTCAATGGCACAGGCTGTGGGTTTATTGAGGTCATATTTAAGCAGACCTTTCCGCTGGTCTCTTGCCAACAAATGAACAGCAAAAATGACGAACTCCTCTTCAACCTTAAGATCTAACTGCTTGAAGCGCTTCATGATATGGTGGCCAATGTTCACTAGAGTCCGGTGCCGCGGCATTATAATGAACAAAACAATTAATTTATTTCAGAGGAAAATTCGATGAAAGGAAACGTGTAACGTGACTGTTTGTTAACTTTGTTCTACCTGTTAGTTTTAGTTGCCCCTAGTTACATTGTAACCGACCGAATTTTTACTCATTGAAATTAGTCATTCATTTACCGTTTAATTTAACCATTACTAAACTTAAAATTGCTGGTAGTCATTTTTTTTTGAATGGTCAATTACGTTTGCTACTGAAATATAAAGACAACAATAGTAGGAGTTTCTTGCAATTAAGATAAAGACATAAGGTCAAAACTTTAAGAAAACAAAGAGGGAAATTGATCTTGAACTTTAAATATGAATATAAAAACAAAGAGGAATCACATTGATTTAAGTTAAGCTTAAAGTGGACAACAATTAGTTTAATTGGGCTTTTTATTACATTTAAAATAAAGCAAAATAATTTTCTAAATTCTTCCTAATTATTTTCTGTTGCAGAACCTACTATTGTGAACTGCATCTCTCGGCCCAGTTACCTTAGCGTTCGTGGATCCTTTCTTTTTGTGGGCACCGACGATGGTCTACTGCAGCTCCATGAGCGAGATTCTGGAATGGACAAGTCATGGACTCCGTTTATCCGCCAGTCAGCTTTGCTTGCTCGTTATGTGACCGATATAGCATGGAACCCGATAGAGAGCAATACGTTTGCTGTGGCGGGCAACGATAAGAACATATACGTGATGGAGTTCCAGCCAGCTGAACGCAATTGGAGAACGAAGCACACTTTCACGGCAAACGCAGAGAAGGCGTCGATTACCTCGTTGAAGTGGAGCCATAGCCAAAAACATCTGCTACTCAGCTTCCATATCGAGGGAAAGGTGTGCCTTTGGAACTGCAACGAGCCGGAGAAGCCACCGCTGACTATAACATACCACTGCCCGATGTGGTGTGGAATATTTTTGCCCACCAATGAGAACATTATTATGTGCTCGGGAAAGGCGCTCTCCGTGGAGCTAATCGACATAAAAGAAGCCCTGGCTGGTGATGAAAAAAGCATCTGCCCCAAAGTGGATGCCCTGTTGAACGTTAAGTGGGCAAGCAAGTCCTTGACACAGCCCTATGCACCAGTTCTCACAGCGGCTGACAAGAAGCGACAGAGGCGTGATCAGCGAAAGGCGGCAGCTAAATTGGAAACTGACCCAGCTGCTAAACAGCAGAAGAATCACCAGGAACCAGATACACCAGCTAATGAAAACTGTGCCAAGAATTTACCGGTGAAAGAGACCCCTGTAGAAGAAATGCTGGGAGCCCTCAGCTTGGACAAGAAACCTACAAAAATAAACAACAAGGAGTGCACAAAGTGCAAGGAACTGGAGGCTAGACAACCACCCGACAGTTTTCTTACCGTGAGTTTATAATTGGATCATAATTTACCTAAAATCAATCTCTTTTGAACTTACAGCATAGTCGATCCTGCCTTTACCTCACCCAAAAAGAGCTCAACAAGAGCGCCTTAGAGAAGCTGGCCATTGTTCTCACTGAAGACCCGGCCAAGATCGACAAGTCAGTGCTCATTTCAAAGCTATTTAGTACCAAAGTGATGGCTAAAGAGCTCATTGCAAAAGAGTGTGAGTTTATTGAAAAAGAAGATTAAAATTATAAATAAATTCAAATTATTTCAGTAACTAATCTGAAGCAATCGAACACAAAAGACATAGCCCCTCTCTGCCTGGCCATATCTACTTTCAAGTTGCGCGAGGAGCTGGAACAGCATATGGCCAATAAGACGCTCACCGAATGGCATCTCTCGGTGGCTCCCTCAGTGTCTTTTACGTAAGTTTTTAACTATATAATTTGTGGGATTTTTCAATAATTATGTTGTATATCAGGCTTTGGCAGGACTGCTGTCGCGCTTATGCCAAACAGATGGAGGAAAAGGGCTTCATTATGCACGCAGCTACGTATCTCTTTAGCCTGGGAATGCAATCAGAAGCCATCAATCTGTTTCTGGCCAACGAGTATTACAAAGAGGCCCTGGTTCATGCCCGAATCTGTTTGCCAGCAACTGATCCCTTGATCAAGACCATAATTAACAAGTGGCTTGAGCATCTAGAGGGGACCGGCAACTTCGCTGCGGCAGCCTTGATGTAAGTTAAGACTAAGACTACAGAAAGAAGAATATACTAAATCGAATTCTTTCCACAGCTGCGTACTGGATAACGAGATGCTGCGCGGGTACTCTTATCTAAGGAAGTTCCGCAACTGCACTCCGGAAATCGCTGAACTAATGGACCAAATCAAACGGATTGGACAGTTGGGCGGAATGTTAGATGGTTGTGCTCTCAATGAACCGATCCACAACGGATCTACTGCCGAGCATTAGCCTTACTTGTTCTTGGTTTAAGCATAGTTTAAGCTGAATCAGGCTGTATTAGTGTACACGTTTGAAATCGCCCCGATACAATCATGAAGCTATTATCTATTAGCTAGGCATTTAAAAGTGTTCATCCATGAATTTAACTAATTTTTTTTTTCATTTTACCTAGATAGTCAGAGACTGAGTGGAATTTAAGTTGTCTTTGGAATACTATTATTTTAATTAAACTTAACCCAAAGAAAGAAAATACCATACATATATCAATGGCACAATAGCTAGTAAAGAAACACACACAAATTGAATTTCGAATAAACAAAAAAAGAGAGAAAATGAAACCCCAGCGAGCATTAATTAGAACAGGCAGCTGTTCCAGCGGCCAGAAACCATTTGTTATCAGGCGAACAAGCTGGCCCAAACAAAAGTATGACCGTTAGGCCTCATTTTAGTCTGGGCTTTGGCATCAAATTATGCAAATGGCAGGGTTCCCCAGCCCGCCGACAGCATCATTGCCAGTTTGAAATTAAGTTTTAATTGTTGGAACAAGAGTCAGGGCGAGTGAACTTGCTGCACAGCAGCAGCAGCAGCCGCAGTCGCAGCAGCGAAAACAAACGAAACCGACACAAAAATGTAAATCAACAAACGACAGGCCAGAGCAGAGCTCTAGAGCTTGGCTCGAAACTTTAAGCTGGAAGCGGCGTATTGCTCTTCAGTTGCCAAACAGACGTCGTAGTCGTCGCAGCGCTGCTCGCAGTTTCGTTCGGCGAACGAAGTTCGTTTCCTTAGTCTTTCGAATTTCACTTTTAACCGTTTGCTAGCGCGCCAACGTTGAGGCGTACCGTTATCGCGGCACGTTACGGAGTGAGTGACCCACACATATCGACCATTCTCACGTCCGTCAACTTTGACTTGACCTGGTGCTGGTGCTGGTAGACTAACCGTTGTACAATTAAATAACAATCAAAATATAATTGCGTACAAGCACATTTCGCTTTTGCGATGACACAAAAAATTTAAAAAACGAGTTATATTCGGTCTGGGCTTTATTCAATTTGTGCGAGCAGTAAAAGTGCCAAGAACCACTAGGTGGTGGTTTTGTTGTGTGAGGTTTTATGTGGCCCATTAAAGCCGTCGGTCGGGCGACGCAATTTGCATGAGCGACAGCTTCGAATCTTTTGAAAAATTCATACCACGAAATGACTCAACGCTAAACAATTTCGTGGCCCGCGTGTGTTAGTGCGTCGCTGAGAAAACATTTCTTGCTTGACTGATAATTTCTACGATCCGCGATTATTGTTCATTTAGTTTATTTTTTGGTATTTGTTGTGCCTGTTGTAACTGCTTGGGATGGATGGATGGGATCGTTTGCAATAATAATCATAATGCAAAGTGAAAGGTATATTTTACATCGCATCGCATCGATACATATGTTGGATATTGCATTTTGAAACGCACAGGCACAGCTTAACGGCAACGCATTGGATTGGCCTTTTCATTTCGATTCCATTTCGACTTCGATTTACATCGACTTCATAATAACAATTTGCATAACTTTGCCGCTGCATTGTTGTTTATTCATGCATAAGCATTCACTGTTGTCCATTGTTGCACTTATGCTATTGAACTCGCTATGCAGACACCTCAGCATAGCTAACAATAACAACAACGAAATGAAATTAATTTAATTGTCCGAGACGCGGGGAAGACAATGCAAAATATTTTGAAATGTTGCTCGCATTTTTTCGGTCTCATCGGGTTCACAGAGATTATGTTGGATCTGCATAATTTCGTAATCCTCGGCGCATGGGTGTGGCAGTCAGTCAAGGGCGCTGCGAAACCGCTTGCCACCTTTTCCCGGTGCTGAGTGCTAATAAATAGCAGTTAAGCTCCGATGAAAACCCGTTCCGAAGAAATAAGACAGCTTTGCCCCCGAAAAACCGGACAGCCCAGGGAGAATGAGTTTGTCCAGCTAATTAGCAATAAAACATACTTGGCTTGCAATTCTTTCCGGCCACTGAAGAAAGCCAAAACCAGACCCGCATCGTCAGTGGGACAGGAAAGAGCTGGGGTTCGGGTGCTCAACTTGCAACGTTGGCGGAATGTCAATGGGGCAAGTCAGCGCGCCCAACACTTTAAGGTGCGCATATCCGGTGCGTCGCTCCTTTTTTGGGGAGCAAGACCAAGAGCACCCAACCCAATCCATGGATACGCCTTCAGGTGGATCATCATCATCATCATAATCTCAGGCTATGATGAGCACGATGAGCCCGGCGCACCTGCGTGCTGACGACATTGAGTCGACAAGTTCGTCGCCTCTATTTTGATGACGATGTCTATTATGGGCGGATTACCGTATCCGACTAAGCGGATAACTGGGCTCCCAGTCGCTGAGTGATGTGTTGGCGAGGCGTCTCAATTGTTTACACTCCACAACACGATTCCGTGGGCAAGCCAATGGGATAATTGGTCGGGTTTTTTTCATTACAAGTGCCTCCGGAATGGGCTCTTTTGTATGAGTTGAAATAAATCTTTCAATTGCTTTCCATTTGTTAATTGTCTCTCATTTCTTATCATGATTCACACAATCATTTTTCACTTCATTTCTTTCATTTTCATTTTGTTTCTGTATTTTTATTTCATGGCTTTCGATTTTACTGTACTTTTAAAAATAGCTTACTTTTTATTTTTGTAATATACCAACTTAATGATCATAAATTAAAACATTATGTTACATAGCATAAATTCGATCCATTTAGTTATCCGTATAGCTATTTACATAAAAAGTGTCATCATTTGGTTGTGCCACAAGATGTGTGAAATACCCAAACTTTGTAGCGGTGTGTAATTGATTAATTGATTTGGGTATTGCCAAGTTTGTGAATTCATTTGTCATGACATAAGGTGGCTCGTAACTGGCATTTGGTAAACAGTTTTAGGTAGTATTTAACCAGAAGCTTCCTTCTTAGCACGCGACACCATTTGTTTAGGGTCAAATATTTGCTTGGCCAACCAAACAAAAGACTTCGGCAGCGAACTGGCTCTGTAGAAAAGTGAAAATCTTCTAAATAATATGGCACAGGCCGTTAGACTGAGAGTGCTACTTTGTGGTGGTTGGTTTGTTTGTTTGCTTCTTGGCTGGTTCATACTCACGTATGTGTAGCAGCCAAAACAAGTTCGTTGCCTAAGTCTTTTGTTCCGAGTATCGAACTGGACTCATCTCATCTCATTTTGGAATTCTCATTTCAGCACCAACCTAGCATGACACGGCTCAATTGGGCCGCTTAACGCTTTCATTCAACCCACAAGCGGTCTGGACTCGAAACCCATTCGAACATAAACCAAGAACTAGAACACATCGCATCGTATCGCACCACTGGTGCACCACCTCCTCCTCATCCTCCTTTCCAAAGGGGAGCCAAGGCCACCCTCCCGCTTGACAGCTTAATTTCTCTCGAAAAACCACACTCATACATATCTTCCACAACAACAACCGCAACCGAATAACACGAATAATGAATTATCAGAAGGCCAGTGAAAAGCAGTCGCCGTCCTCATTGAAGAAGCGGCCGCCGGGCAACGGCAATAGCATACAAAACTTTTGGAACGAACGCATTATGGAGCGCTTCATAAAGGCGAATCTATTCATTATCTGCTGCGTGGTGGCGGTTCTTTTGCTGGTAAGTAACGTCAGGTGATATCACCATATCGCCTCCATCTCTGCATCTCCATCTCCATCTCTGTCTATCCGAACGTCCATCTTTCCGTTACCGTTATCAGTGTGAAAACATTTCTGCTCCATTAAGTGAAAATGAAATGAAATCGTTTTTGCGCAAATGTAAAAATTTCATCTGTTTTTGCTGACCAAGATGACAGGCACGACAGTCGTCCAAGTCGTTGGAGGAGAAGAGGTGGGAGCTCATTAATTGATTGATGGATGGTTGCGGAGCAAAGCTGTCTCCGGTTTTTTCGTGTATCTACATCTCTGACTGCCATCGCCTGATTTATGTTTTCGCTTTTCTTCTGCGTATCTCGGCTAATTTCCATTTCTCTTCCCATTCCCCGATCTCCGCATTCCTCGCAGATCGTCTATCTGGGGGCCTTCTCGTGTGAGGTCTCTTGGATACTGGAGGCCCACGGCGAATTGCCCTTCTCCGCCTACACGCTCTGCTCGCTTTACTTCGTCATGTTCGTGGCCACAACGATCCTCATCCATGGTTTGGTCAGTGGACTCTGCTGGCCGTTGTTCGCCTGGTCAGGCATCATCGGGCTCCTTTCGATTCCGGAGTTAGTTTTTGTCATGATCATGACCACACAGCACTGGGTAAGTTAAATTAATTAAAAAATATTATGGGAAAAATGTTATTTCAAATTTAAATTAAATTTTTTTAAGGGACTACAATCGGTGCATGGACTGACGGAGCTAACTTCATACCTTATTCGGTTGATCATCAACTGCTTTGCTCTAATCTGTGTTATTCCCACGGGCATACGCTGGCGGCGGGAGACTCAGGTTTTGAGCCAGCTGCAAGGATTGGCCACTAGACTCTCCCTGCAAACACCAGCACCCAGTGTTCCGATGACCAAGGCGGACTCCCGACGATCTAGCCAGCGGTTAAGTGGATTCGAGAACGCCGGCTACCAGTTGTGCGATGAGACTGCGTCCAAGATACCACTAGGTCCAGGAATAGGATTGGGTCTGAACAACCAATGCGGCGGCAGTCAGGCATTTGGATCCCAGAATGAATTCAATGCCAGTATGTTTGCTCCGGCTCTGGCCCAACAGTTCAACAATGCCACAATGATGCAGCGTGGCGGATCGGGAGGAGCCACGGGTAGCCACCGGGCACAGTCCCTGATGGACCTCCGCTGCACTCTGCCTGGAATGTATAATCCGCGGCATGTGCTCGACACTGAGGATAAGAACGCCAAATACTTCAACATAACTATCGACGACCTGAAGAATAATCTGCAGGATTCGCACAGACCGTCGCCACCTTCACTAATTGGCTCCACCAGCAATGATCCCATCTATTGTTCCATCGAACCCAAACAGTTGACACCACCACCTGCTCAACAGAGGAACCACCATCGTCCACGTGGAACTCACAAGCAACCGCCACCGGGAAAGCTCTCCCGGAATTGCGTTTCCCTTGAGAACCTGGACGGAATCAGCAAGGTGCAAAATGATCTGTCCGCCTACGGAAATAATCTCCTCCAGAACTACACGCAGCAACAACAGTACTACCTGGCAATGTTGCTTCACCAGCAGCAACAACAACAGTTGCTCCACCAACAGGCTGGTGGCATCTACCGCAGACCTTCCAACTGCAGTTCCACGGGAGGATTTGCCGGCACAGTTCTGGCACAACCGATGCAACGACGTGGTTCCACTCACAGCCAGCAGATGCAGTATTATGGAGGCTTTGGCTATGCCAACTATGCCAATCCTTACATTACGGCAAATAGTAAACTTTCGCTGGGCAACGAGTCCGACGACTACCGGAAGTACCGCGATGTGGCTCTTTGAGTCTTTTTCGGTTTCCGGTCCCCAATCAATCACCAGTCATCGCTTAGGTTACACTCACTAGTTGTAGGACATGCTCGATCTAAAATGAGATTCCTCGGAATAACGACCAAAGAGCCACAAACTAACTCAGTTTCAGTTCGTAGACTAACGTTACGCTGGGAGAATCTGGTACGACGTTTATGCGCAGGTTATATGTGCAAGTGCAAGTTTCGATATAGGTCTGGACTTATTTTGATATTTGCTAAAGTTATACTCCCATAAATACTACGTTAACAATCACGCCTTATTTGCAAATAAATGTTTTTCATGAAAGACTCCAATGCTTAGAAGTTTAGGTATAATTTTATTAGCAAATAAACGCAGTATCACAAATTTTGAAAAATAACAAAGTATCAACAAAGAGAAATGTATAATTTCTTTGACAAACAGTTTAGCAAATAAAAGGCGTATAAACCTAGTAATAGATTAACTGGTTACATCATCGTAACTTGTTCAAAGCGAACCCCAAGTTTAGTTCTAAGAATCGACCACAAATTGTCATTGACATTCATTGTTTATTATACTTACTAGGAATACGGATAACAATACTCTGATCGACAGTCTAACCATCCACAGATCGAAAACTGTACATACTTGTAATAAAAAGCATTCATGTTTTTACTCCGAATCGAGAAGATCGGCCAATGGATTATCGCTGGATTTAGAGGGAATGGTTGGAGTCGCATTTGGGGCTTTACCAGTAGCTGGTTTGGATGCTGTCCGGATCACAGTGTTGGTTTTTTTGATTGCGCTAACTTTAGACGCCGAGCCTCCTCCGAACAGATCATCATCGTCGTCGTCGTCACTAAAGAGGCTTTTGCCTTTCTTTAAGGGCAATTTTTTGGCAGGAGCACTCTTGGCTGGCACCACCAGCTCATCATCATCATCACTACTAAAGAGAGAAGTCGCTGCGGGTTTAATGGGTGGCTTAGCTTGAACAGGCTTGACAGTGGTTTGGATACTGTGCAAAGATGCTGGTACAGCGGCAGAAGCGAAAATATCATCATCATCGTCACTGTCATCAAAGAGTTTCGGCACAGACTGGGGCTTTGGCGTAATCTGTTCCTTTCCTGCATTTGGTTCTTTGGTAGGAGCAGAAGTCTCCTTTGCAGAAGTGTCGATGATCTTTTCTGCAGGGACTGATGCTTTTCGAGCAGCAGGCGCCATTACTGCTGCACTAAATAGTGAATCATCTTCATCTGGGCTGTCCGAAAATGATTTTCCCAAATTCGGCGGTTCTGATGATTGGACGAGCTTCCGGTGATCAGCGGTTGCTTCATTAGAAACCGATTGTGGGAAGGGAACGGAAGCTTTTTCGATCGCACCCTTACTTTCAAAAGGTTTAAAAAGAAGATCATCTTGATCAGGACTATCCAAAAATGATCGATACGACTTGGGTGGATCAGATCCTTGCTTTCCTCCAATTGACCTATTCGAAGAATTTGCCTGTGAAGGAACAGAAGTAAAGAAGGAATCGTCCTCATCTGGGCTATCCAAAAATGTTGCGTCCACCTTAGGAGGAGCTGGTATTTCTATCTGCGGCTTGATCTCCGGCCGAACATTTAAAATCGGAACTGGTGGAGCAGAAGACATCTTTTCATCTCTTACTGACTGCGGAATGTGGGTTATGAAAGTTTTAGACTCAAGGTGCTCTACATCTGGTTTAGCTATAGAGGTCCTTCCCTGAATGGAAGTTGAAGATTTTGTCTCTAGATCAGCATCCATCAAGCTCTTGGCGTAATTTTCCTTTCTGCCCTTCCTGGTAGAAGGTCTTCTTTTAGCAGGGCCTCGAGCACGAGATTTGTTCACGTGTTGCAGGCCACCCTCTCCTGGAGGTATAACGTTTTCCTTGGAACTTGGTGTGATCTCTGTGGACTGGGCAGTATTTGGAGGTTCTTCTCTCTCAGAACTAGATGACTCTTGTTTTCTGAGCACCTTTGGCAGGCCTCCGGAGCCGGGAAGTAGTGCCTGCACATTTATGTTAATATTAGGCATTTTCAGTTTTTTTACAGGAGACTTGAGTGGAGGCAACTCTGGACTCTCGTTAACTTTACTGCGATCAGGTTCGTCAGCTGGCGGGGGCTCATCATCGAAACTAAACCGTTTAGGGATTGGCTGGACTCCTCCGGCCCTAGCTGTTTCACTAAAATCATCATAGAAAATTGTGTGTATCCGGGTTGGTGGTAATTCGTCTTTCTGAACTACAGGTTGCTTCTGAGCTTCTTCACCCTCACGGTCATCATCTTCCGGTGGGATATCACTAAATAAACACATAGCGCCATAGTCTGATGCCGAAGATGGCTGATCTCCAGGTGTCACTGGTGATGGCTTAGTCGCATTTGGAATTTTGGGTAAGGCGGGTTCGAAAAAGTCGTGCTCGTTGTCAAAGATTTTCGAGGCACTGAGGCTGCTGAGACCACTACCCCCAAGAGCTTGGAAAAATTCACTGTCATCTGGCGGCTCGTCGGAAAATAGATTTGAGTAATTCTGCATGATTTGCTGTGCAGCAGCCAGATCAGCAGGCTTTCGGGGGGTACCTTCTGGAGACTTGTTAGTGACATCGGCCACCATTGTTATAATTGGATCTTGCTCGCTTTGATAATCGTCTGGTGGAGGACTTTCGGAAACTAAAACATCTCTTTGGGGTTTGCTTAACACTTCAGGCACAACATCATCCTTTTCGTCGACGATGGTTATACTATCTATTTTGTTCTCTGGCAGTTTCTGTGGCTCATCTTGTTTAATCTCATCAACCAACTCGACTTTAGCTGATATATTAATTTCCGTTGTTGCTGTAGCATCTTCCTTATGCTTGGATGTACTCAAAAATGTTTTATCATCGCTAATATCTTCGTTAAACAAATCGGTTGGTTTTGTAGAAGATTCGGGAGGAATTATTGATACTATATTTTCATTAGCTTGCAAACTATCTCGTTCAGCAGTTTTGATAAATTCTTTAGTTTCACTATCACTTGTAGTCTTAACTTTAATATTTAAGGGGTTTAAGAAAGATTCATGATCGCTTAAATCTTTAGTGAACAAATTTGTAGATCTAGGAACTTCATCGGCCAATAAATCATCTCCGCATTTTACTTGCTTAGACTTATCTTCCAAAGTTTCTAAGGGCGGAGGTGAATCTCTTATATTAGTCATAGATGAATTTACTTCCATTTCTTCTGTATGCTTTCCAATCTCCTTTTGTTTTTCTATTTTAATTTCAGTATTTTCAAAAGTCTGAGGGGCGTTATATTGTTCGGTAGTAATTAAATTTTTAGCCTTCGGTGTTCCAAATATATCATCATCATCGATATCATCAAATAGACTTTTCTTTGGGGCTACTGTAGCCTCCATCCTTAGATCGGGTAAAATATCTGGAGGTGATTCCTCGACATTTTTTCCGGATAAAGTATCTGGAAGCGTCTCATTCCTTGTTTCCTTCGTCTTTTTAGAGCCAAATAAATCAGTGACATCATCTTGGTCGTCGTCTTCAAACAAACTGGTTTTTCCAGCTACTTTTTCAGAGAGCTTCTTTGGTTGAACCGAAGGTTTTATAAATATATCATCAATATCCAAATCATCATCATCAAATAAAGAGGATTTCGGTTTGGAAAGCGTTTTTTGTTCTGGCTTTGTTTTAGACGTAAAGGAGTTCAAGAAATCATCGTCTTCCAAATCATCGTCAAACAACGATTTCTTAAGAGGTGTCGTTGGCTTCTTAGAAGGAATTTCTTTTGGACTGACAACCATGGTAGGAGAATTGTCAAAGAGAGATTTGGCTTGGGAATTTTTATCCAAAGCTGGGCTTTGTTTTGGAATGGCACCCGATGATTTATTACTATTTAAGATAGGCTCTGCCTTTGGAGTAGGACTTAAAGGAGGACTGTCATCAAACAGATTTACATGTTTCGGAACAGATTTTTCAACGATCGGCTTGGTGGCTTCAGGTTTTGACTTGGTTTCCAAAGATTTTCGTTCGTTTTGCGGTTCCTTAATTGAATTCGTTGTACCAGTGGATGCAGAGCTGCTGCCCGACTTGGCCTGGACTTTGTCCACGATTTCCGACATAAACGATTTAAATTCATCGTCGTTAAAGAGATTTACTGGCATACGCTTGGTTTGATTTGACTTGACGTCAGTTTCCTTGGGAATTTGGGTTGAGACAGCCTCGTCGAAAAGTCTTGCCGGCTGTTGGGCAGGACTGCTGCTACTAGAGCTAAGCGATGCCGTAGATACGATTGGCAAGCGGCTAGAAGGATTCCTAAAAGCTGGTGACGATGTGGGCGATGATGAAGTGGAAGGCGGATCATCGCTAGGCGGCGATTGCCGAAGTGCAGAAAACATGTCCCTCTCATGTGGATTACGATGACTACTTATAATAGGACGCGGTTGTGTTCTGTTGGCAGCTTCTGGAACCTGGCTAGCAGGTTTGATTACTGGAGATACAATTGCTGGTTCCCTGGCGAACGATGCCAGTGAAGAAGAGTCAGAGAGGTGAGGCTCCCCTAATTTGTTCGTTGGCACTGTAATTTTCTTTGTTACGGATTCTCTCTCGTCCGATGAACTTGAGGAAAACTCTTCGGACCTTTCATCCTCACTGTTCTCTTTGCTGTCATACAACCCGGCGTATTTATGTTCCTCCCATTCCTTTGTCCCAATTACATAGGGCAGGGGAATAGCATCGTAAGGATTTTTTGCCCGGAATACAGTTCTGTAGAAAAAAGGCTTAGTACGGTTATGAAAACGTTTTATAGACCCACATACGTTGAGTGTACAGGTGCATCCTCATCATCGGAATCTGGCACTTCTATAGTCACCGGCTCATAGTTTTTGCGGAACATTCGCAAATTGTTTTCGAGAAACTCTTTTGCCATTTCCTCGGAACTCATTGATGGCGCCTGTGGCTGGAAGCAGAAATACATGTATCTATAAACATAATTTCATCGAGAAATCAATCGCCTTTGTACCTTTTTCTTTTTCTCTTCTGGCATGGCCAAATCAGCGTCATCCACTTCCTCCACTCGATACTCTACAAACTGATTGCCAAATTGTAAGGATCGCAGGCTATTAGTGGCATTGTTTAGAGATATATCCACTTGCTTCACACTCGTCTCAAAGTCCCTAAGATTGCGACTGGTCTTTTCGCCCCTATCCTGCAGATTCTGTTGGGGACATTCCGTCTAATTTGATTTGTTGATGAAGATAATTGTCAAATTAAACCGACCTGGGAAATACGCTTCATCAGTGCCAGTAGGGCGCAATCACCCGCAAAGTTCCAATCTGGAGCTTGAGATATAATTTTATCTACATCTGCACTTATATCCATTATTAATGGATTTCCAATTCGCGATTTAAAAAATTAATAACAATGAAAACCAAACAATAAGAAAACTTAGTGATCACACCCAATTACGGATGTGCGATAGTTTATCACCTGTTACATCGGACTACACAATAATTCGGCCGATACAGAGAGACTCTATTCTTTGATAAAAATTAAATACTTGTTGGCAAATATAAATGACAAAAGTATTTTGTTGCTTAACGTTTTTGTTCTAATTTGTTCAATAATTGTATAGTAGCATCTCATCTTGTGCGCGTCAGCTGTTTGTGTTATCGTTATCGATAATTCTTGCTTCGATTCGATGTATGATAGCACGTGTTGTGGCTGTTCAGTCCGCGTTTTGTTACCCTAATTTTTTGTATTTATTAGGTAAAATTTAAATAGTGGAAAATAAAACTTAAGTAAATATGGCTATGTTAGCGGAACCCCGTCGGCGCAAGCGGTACAATTTGTGTCCACGCGGCAAGGCATTGTATGAAGGTAAATCTTTTCAATTTAAACATACTCGCCCAAAAATGTATGAGAACGTTTTGTAGATGAAAACCGATTTGGCACCAAAATGCTGGAGAAGATGGGCTGGACAAAAGGCAATGGCTTGGGCGCCAAGCAGGATGGCGAAAAGGATTTTGTTCGCATTCGCTTCAAAAACGACGCTGAAGGATTGGGTTTCGAAGCGAGGGATGACCAGTGGACCACTCACGAAGAGGGTTTCAATGGACTATTAAAGTCACTGAATGGCGAAGATAATGAGGCTAATGGAAAGGAATCTGACCCCGAAGAGGAAAATAGACCCATGGGTTTTGGTTTTAAAGTCGATCAACCGGAGGAACCGTCCAAGAAAAAACTCAAGGAGAACATTAGTGGTATGTCACTGGAGGAGAAGTCTAAGCAAAGTAGGGCTCGAGTTCACTACAAAAAGTTCACACGTGGCAAGGACCTTTCTCAATACAGTGAAAAAGATTTGGCCAATATATTTGGTAAAAAAGCCACAGACGTTGTCGATGTCCCGGAGCAACTAGAGGTGGAGCAGCCCAAGGAAGAAAAATTGGTGGATGACAATTTCGCTGGCGTGCAAACTGTAGCCACTGGCCTTTCGGTCAGCGATTATTTCAAGCAGAAAATGGAAGCCATGAAAAACAGGCTGAAGAAAGGAGTGCAGAGCACTCCAACGATGAATGATAATTCTGAAGAACAGGCTAATGGCCATGATGAAAAGCTCGCTGAGATCTTAGCGGAAAATGATCTAGAGCCCAGCAAAAAAAAGAAGAAAAAGAAGGATAAGGAAAGGACTGTCGAGCCAACAGTTGCACAGGACGAAATCGGGCAATCTGCCCCCAAACTAAAGAAAAAGAAATCCAAACGCTCATCTCAAGATGACACTGAACCCACGGAGGTAATCTGCGTTGAGGAAAAACTAATTACAAGCGAAGAGTCCAATCCACAGAAACGAAAGAAAAAAAAGGACAAAAAGGAAGAAACGGCAGAAGATACAAGTGAAATCATTGAACTTTCTGTAGAGCCTACTCTAAAAAAGAAAAAATCTAATAAGAAGGAGGAGGTTGCAGATGTGATAGAAATTATTGAACAAATAGTAAAACCAGCCCAAAAGAAAAAATCCAATAAAAGCAAAGGAACTCAGGATTTCGTGGAATCCGTCGAGAAAAATGAAAAACCAGCCACAAAAAAGAAGTCCAACAAACTGCATGAAACTACAGAAGACCCACTAGAATCAATAGAGAATCCTGAGGAACCAGTCCCGAAAAAGAAAAAAAAGTCTAAGAAACCCGAGTTGGCGGATTCGGAAGTAATCATAATTAATGATGACTTATCGGAAACCATGTATGAAAATGTTAGTAAAAAGAAAGGTACAAAATGTAAAGATGGCAACCAAACTCATGTAGGAAATGATCTTGAAATCGCAGACGAAACTAGCACAAAAAAGAAAAAGAAGTCAAAGGAACCGAAAAGGCCAGAAACCGAGGAAGTAGAGTCAAAGGAAATACCGCCCCCCGCATCTGATATTCAAAAAACATCAAAGAAGAAAAATAAACTCAATAAGACCGCAAACGCTGTACTGGAGAGTTCTGCACTTGCTACCCCCGTAAGTGCCGTTAATAATATCTCTGGGGATAAGTGCAATCAATCAGCTGATGAAGATTTGCCTGTAACTCTCTTATCGCTGGAAGAGATACATAAAAAACTAAATATTAATAATATTTCTGGGGATAAAGGCGATCAATCAGCTGATGAAGATCTGCCTATAAACCTCTTATCGCTGGAAGAGATACATACAAAACTCAAAACACTTAATACTTTTGAAATTTCTCAATTTTGTGCAGAAAAATTTCAAATGTTCGACATGAGTCAGTTTACCAAGTCGACACTGTCCGAGATTGTGGGCTATGGGACGAGTGAGAACGTGGAGCTGAAAGTGGTGGCAAATAAAACCGATGAACGGCGCATACTAGACCTTTGGAGTAATAAATCGATTGAAACATCTAAGAATTGGAAGCATCCACGTTATCCGAATAAGGTGAGGCCTGTGACGATTCGAGCGGTAAAGAAAAGAGTCGCTTTTAATGGAATTTAGCTCAAGCAAACGAAATATAATTCAACGTGATTCTTATTTTTGTTCGTTTTGTACATAAACAACTTAAGTAGGTAGTTTGTAAGCTTCATGGTTTACATTTTAATGTATAACAACATAATTAATTAAACTGAACTATACATTTCAAGCTGTGACATATTCTTCAGTCTTATTCATAGAACCCATATGCGGTCCGACTGTGGTGAATATTCCCTCCCGTCGTCTACGCATGTTTTTATGAATGAATGTAACGAAATGTAATATCAATGTGGGGGTCTTACCGACTAACAGGATAACATTAAAACTAGTCTGGTGTCACGTTACGATTCGCCAAGCGGCGAGATCGGCGCAGCGGCCTCTTGTCCTGATCCGAGCTGTGGGCTCGCTTTGCGGGTCGATTGGCGTTGCTACGACTAAAGTTATTCAAATGAACATGTGTATCCCACTGCGGAGAAATATGTAGGTTACCAATGAAAGAAGAAGGCATTGTTTTCCAACTTACCGAACCAGACACAATTTCTGAGCGCTCTGGATGCCAGTCCAGGTCTCTTATCACATTCCTATGTCCTTCAATAGCCTCTTTAATCTTACCAGTAAGTACATCATAAACTGCGAAGTAGAAATATGTTTTTGGTGGCAATTTTATGAAAAAAAAAAGGGGAACTTACTTATTATGCGTCCTGTGGCACAGCCCGTGTATATGTAGCGCTGTCCTGTCTGCTCCATTGGTGAAAACTTGGCCCTCAGCAGGGTTTTGGTAACTCGATGACCGCGATACGTCATTATACTGGTATCCCCATCCAGCGCCTTATGTGGATTGTAAACTTCAAAACAAATAATAAATAAATGCAGTTTTCAAAGAGTTAAGGAGCTAAAGCTTACATTCACGTGGCACACGGTTCCATCGGTAGTCCCACATTGAGAGGTCTTGTTGACGTTGCCTGGCTCGGCTGCGATTACGAAGATTGCTGGGCTGCCTCATGTCCCAGATCTTGATGCTTTGGTCTTTGGAGTTGGACAACACATGATAACCATCGTTGCGCGAGTCGATGTAAGTAACGCCGTCATAGTGGCCAATAAAAGACGCGACCGACTTGGACAGTTCGCGTGAGCGGAACGAAGTACGAAGGTCGTATACCTTGAGAAGACCGTCGTCGCACCCGGCGACTATCACATTTGGATCCTTGTCGTGCAGGAAGCACACAGAATTCACATCGTTTCCCGGCATGCGGTGGGTGCGAAGGATCTGTGTGGTCCTTGTGCGGATGTCGGTCACTATGACCGTAGCATTATTGCTGCCACCTATAATCTTGTCGCCAGTGGGAGAGTAGCGTAGCGAGAAGATGGCTAACCTATGGTTTGGCAGTCCATTCACATCGATCCATTGGCAGTCGCCTTCGTTTCCATTCACGGGCATGATGAAAACTAAAAGGGAGAGCACTTAGTATGGATATCAGCGTTCTCTGGCCACTTACATGTACGGGACCAGGTGCTGTAGGCAAAGTGTTGGCCATTTGGGCTGAAATCCGCATCGATGATACTCCACTCAACATCACGGGCACGTATGCGGTTGAGTAGATGGTAAGTGCCCTTAGCGCCGTCGTAGATGCGCACAAAGCCATCTGGAAGATGTAATATACATGTTTCGTCATATCTTCACGATATTTAAAGCTTTTAACAGAAATGCTGACCTTGACAGGCGGTCAGCAGTTTGCTGCCCGTGCGATTGAATTTGGTCACAAAGATTTTAGAGTCCAGCGACATTAGGCGCGTGGACTTCTTGTTTGGTATGTATAGATTTGAAATGTAGCGCTGTTGGTTCTTAGAAAACGAGGAGCTATGGGGCGAAGCCATCCCATTTTCTCGCTTCTGAAGGGCTTGCACTAGATTCCAGCGATTGTCAGGTGTGCTAACCATTCCACTGGAAGCTCTGATCTCCTTGTACATATCGGTGTTCTAGAAGGTTAACCAAGCCATCGAGTGCTAAGTATGGTTATCTGAAGGCAGTGTATTTCATGATTACCTGAAATTTAACAAGATCTGGTTTGCTTCTTATTACTGGCATGTCGTTATTGCAGTAATCAGTTCGCAGTTCCATGTCCATCGCATTCACTGTAAAGTTGATAACATTAAAGCCGAGCTCGTTGTCCGAGGATTCGAAGTCATCATCGTCATCGCTGTTCATCTCGATTCCTAATTGATTCCCCATAATTTTCTGCGTTTCCCTTTTGCCCTCTTTTGTTATTAAATTCACAGTTGTTGAAGTTTGTAGGACCGCAGGTGGAAAGAAGCTAAATACCAGACTGCAACCTGCACTCACACCAAAGTTCAAAAGTTAACAAATTATCGATATATCGCCGATGTAGCGAAAGTAGTATTGGACAGGGTTTCTTATTTGAAAATGTGGAAATTCAAATTGAGGAGCAATAACTTAATAGGTAAAAATCAATATGACAGTCTTTGCCGACTAACTGTGACCGTATAAAATGCTATTATTTCTATTAGTTTAAATTTCAAAAATACAATTAATTTGCTTTTTCATTTTCATCCGGGACATTTTTTAAGTTTACGATTTATATATCTTAAATGTTAAAAAAAAATATTTTATCTTAACAAATAAAACATATAATCAACACATTTTTTGTGTTTCATCTAGCAGTGTCTTTAGTGACTGTTTCACTAGTATTTGATATAAGGACAGAAAAAAGGAAGCATACTGAAGTCATAGCCTGATTCCGTTAAAAAATGATTTTAAACTCTTATCAGTCTACATAAATAGCGAGTCAAGATCTCTCCGTGCTCTGCGGTCACACCAAAGTCGATCACCAATAAGCTATCGATAGCAAAGTTGGGCATGCGCAGTTAACTTTGCAAACTGAACTTTTTAGAGCTATGGCGCAGCTTTCCCGCCGTTAAAGCTTTGCTTAGATGGGATACCATTCCGCGAATAGCTCATGAATAGCACAGCGACTAGTCTCAAATCGATCGCGATCGTGCTTAAACCGAACGGAAAATAAAGAAGCGGCTTGAAATTTGTGATTGTGTGAGTGAACGCGTCCGTGTGTGTCGTCGTGCTGTCGTGCATGTGTGTGTTTGTGTTTGGTAATGAAATTTTGTATTACATTCCCAATATTCGAAACCTGCTGTTCAGAGAAGAGACTTTTGGAGCAACAACAAGAAATGCCGAAAATGTGATAAAACAACAAGCCAAAGAATCGGAATTCCGAATTCCGGACCTTGCGAACTGAACAATCTGCTCTCCCCCCTTTTTTCTGTGTGTGTGTTTGTGTGTATATAAGTAAGAGCTTGGATCTCGTTGGGGGCTGTCGGTGTGTGTGTTTTAATGTGTGCGCCTGCGTGTGTGTGAAATTTATGATAAATACTTTTGCACAAAGCGCGCCCCTTTGCAGCCAGAAGAAGAAAGTTGTTTAGCATATATGCGTAAAAGTAATAGAAATAGCAAAAGCAAAAGCCAAGCAGAAGTGTGTCAAAAAGGGCCCAGAACTGCAAGCATCGCGTGTGTATAATCAAGGCGAAAATAACAAAATAATAGGCGATGCTGGGGAAATAATTTACGAAAAAACTGGAACGAACGACGACGCGGCTGCAGACACATGAAAAAAAGTGAAAGATTGCAAGCTGACGTTTGTGTTTGAAGCTGCGACTGCGTCACGGCATAAACACACACATAAGCTAGCTCACACAGCCAGCCGGGGAGGGTGGTTTAAAGGGGGTAAGGTGGAGAGAGGTTAGAAGACACCACCTGTCATGGGCGCTGGTTGCACGCCCTTCCACCTTTTCGCTCAACCACCTAGATTCCATACATACATATGTGTTTTCCAATTATTTTGACTGGCTCATAAAATATTTTCGGTGTTTGTGTTTCTAATTTATTGCCAGCGAAATGGGCGATTTCTAAAAGCAATTCATTGTTCCATTCAATTAGCAACCCTGCAATTGGCACAGCAAAGCAAGTACTTGACTTTATGGTATTTGACCAACCAATTCTCACGTTCCTTACATACAGTAAAACTTCTCTAAAATATATTCGATTTAAACCTATTATCATATATTGGAACATGATGAGCTTGATTTAGCTTAAGGTGGAATTGGAACAGAATTTAAGTTTTTTGAAGCTATTCCGTTTTTGGTTTAATAGGAAAGATCAGAAATCATCATTACCACTGGCTAGTTTCTATCACTGTCATATGTTCAGTGCTAGTTTTTTATCTTTCCTCCTATCGCCGCTCTGCACTCAACCAAAGTGACGCAATCATTTGCATTTTATTTTAATTTCTATGATTGTTTCACTGCCTGGCTGAATAACCAGTTGCTGTTTGTCGTGTTGTGTTTTGGGTTGGCTGTTGTTTCTTTGCATTTATCAAAACTTTGTATCTGGCTTTAATGTGATTAGCTGTGGCAATTATGCCAATTCAAGTTCATTATGGTTGGCGCGGTTGCTGTTGTTGTTGCTGTAGCAGTTAACTGTTATTATTGGTATTTATTTAATTGTCATTGTTAGCGTTTCGTTAAGCAATATCAGCGATAGAAGAAACAGCAACAGCATCGAAACGAAAGACTTAGGCAACGAACTTGTTCGCCCGATGCAAATGCTTCCGACTGCTTATCAATTTATTTAAAGTGTTTCGATTGCAAACAATTGCCCGTGCAGAGCAACTTTCGTTTTTGTGACTGCTTCTCCTTTTGTCATTTTCTTATTGTTTTTTTTTTCTATATAATTTATTCGCATGGCATTTCGTCCGCATTGATGTGGAAAAGAAACCCAAAGCTGGCACGGAACAGCGGCATGTGTGCGAAATTCTATGCGGCTTCTCGGGTTACCTGCACTCCGCTTCTTAGTCACACCCAACTGGCCATGGTGGCATGATGGGTTGACGGAATGGAATGACGGACTGATGGGTGATGTAAGTCGCACGAGGCGTTTTGTCAAAGCCGCCCCCAGCTAATTTGCCCACTTCAGGAGGGTCTTCCATGTCCATTACAATTATCATTACACGCTAATTATGTCAAAAGCTAAGCGTAATTGGACCATTCAATCACACCGATTATGATCGCATCAAGAGATCAAACTGCCATTTCTGTCGCCATCGTTGTGGGGGCGCTGTTGATTGATATTCGAATCGATGTGTGGGCTGACCAAAGAGCTGGAGGTGATTATCGACAGGTTACTCATCGCCCTGAGAGTAGGGTCTTATAGGGCACGAATTCCCCAGTCGATTCACACATCAATTTGTTGCCTCACATTCGCTTTGGTCGATCAAGAGTAGACCTCAAAAGCGGAACAAAATTTAATTCACAGCCAATCAAAATAATTTGGTGTTACAAAACCTCTTGACGGCCTTCGCCGCATTTGCATTTTCCCATTTCTATTTCCATTTCAATTTTTACCATTTTCCATTAGTGCTGCAGCTGCGATGGGGCGCTGCTCAATCCACAGATCAGCAACCTTCGATGCCGCAACTGGCGCTAATCATAAGGCCTTGCCACCCACCCCCCATTGCCCAGACTTGCCGTTCATTAAACTTGAAAAGAAAGCAAAACGATGACTTCGAGTTCGACTGCGGCTTTTGGCTTTGTCTGAGCTGAGCAACTGAGCCGCATTTGTTTTAATTTTGGTCAAAGCAACAGACGCCGCAACAACGATTCATTCAATTACAGTTACATGCACTTGCACTTGCACTTGCACACACACAATCTGTTTTTTTCCACTTCAATTTAATTGTTGAAGCTAAACAAAAACCGAAAGGAAACCTGCCAGCAACAATCGCGTCAATTAATCAAATGGAAAATGCAACTTTTATGCCGGTGCCAGGCGGCAGTTGCAAGTTGCACGAGCGCGTTGCAACAAAAGCAGCAACTCAAGTTCAATTGTGGCACGTTTGGGCCAATCTCAAGCTCAAATTCCCAACCGAGGTCAATGGCAAGGCGAAATGGCTTTAACCCTTTCGGCGCCAAAACCCATAAAAAAAACTTGTGTCCACCGTGTCCAGTTAATTAAAATTCATTAATAATCTGCTCACAGCCAAAATAAATGAAAGTTTTTGGCTTTGGATGTTGACAAAAAACGCCTGCGCAGAAACTATGTTTTTGTTTTTTTGGGTTTTTGGGCCTGATTTGGTCTTGACCAAAGAAAAATTCGAATCGCAGCCGAAATAGGAAAAGTCTATCTCCCACTCAGCCAGTAATCGTTTTCGGTCATTTTCGTTGGACAGCTTCTGCCATCAGCGGACGGATGACGAGGATGAGCGGATGAACGGATGATGTCGCCCCCAGAACAGGCAACTGCAAACTCGAAAAACTAGCAGAACATACTCGTAAATTCCACGCCAAGTGAAATTGAAAGACGACCAGAAAAGAAAAGTGACAAACTCAACAGGTACAGGTCCACCGAAAACCAGTCGGAAGCTGCTGCCACACACAAAAAAAAATACAGAAGGAGCAACACATAGACACACAACATTATGTATCGGCCAAATTTCTACGAGTCGACTTGCCTGCGCTGCAGCGAGACCGTCTATCAGGTGGATCGTGTGGGGCCGCTCAAGGATTTCACATTCTTCCATTCCGGTTGCTTCAAATGCGTACACTGCGGCACCAAGCTGACGCTCAAGACGTATTTCAATAATCAGCACAAGCAGGATGACAAAGAGGTAAGTGCCGAGCATCGCCGCATAAGCAAAAGTGAGACGAAAACGAAAGACTTAAGCGACAAACGCGTCAGGCTAAATATTTGCACAGCTGCAAGATGCAAAAATGCAATTCGAACGACACTTTTTTTTGTGTGCCTATGCATAATAATAAATAACTTCGTTATTGCACTTCGCCGAGGCGCAAATGTGTGTCAGTGCGGTCTGTCATTCATATGCAATATATACCTATGTGGTATGTATATTCATGTACAGTGCGTTTCGCATGTATAAGGATGCGGTTTGCTATTAAATCGTGAGAAATTTTGTATTAAATGGAATAGATTAGGAAATCAATAGATTTATATTGTCAAGAATATAAATTATTCATTTTGTCATAAAGATAGTAAATTATTTAGTTAATGATTAGTTTATCCTGAACCTGTCTTACAACCACAAAACGCACTGTACTCAGCTCCGTGTTCGTAATTGCATATGTCTATTGCCACCTGCTGTGTGTAGGTGAAGCGGTTAAAGTTGCATTTGCAAGCGACTTACTTTCGGTCTCTGCTCACGCACTCAAACGAAACCCAATAAGGCTAATGGGGTATATTGATTCGATCGCCAGATACATACTTCAAATGAT